TACCATTGCCATGGAAAGGGGGTGGGGGGATGGCATTCAGGCTGTGGACTCATGCAATGACTGTGAACCACTGAGTTACTGTAAAATGACCAGAAAATGGATTCAAAATTGAAGCCACAAATAATGTAATTACTGCAGTATGATCAGGGCTGCCAGAACAAGAGTTGGCTGCTGCCCTGGAAACATCTGGAGGAAAAGCTGCTGCTGCTGCTGCTGTAAACCCTGCCCTCGTCCCTGTGGGGCAGCAGTGTTCTTCCCAGCCGGGAAGTCCTCAGAGGGTGGAAGGAACAGGGAGGAGACGGGAAAGGGGAAGTGGAAAGAGGCCAGGGAAACGCAATAGGTAAAGGGCAGGACTGATGCTTCCTGCTATGCAAAAGTGAGGTCCAATCACTGCATCTTTTGCAGAATGAAACACGATGTGGTCGTTCGTCATCATCACGCCACCACCATTGACTCTAGAATCAACACCCGCACACCAGCACCATACAGTCATTACTGTTTTCACCAGCAACAATGGTATCACCTCCACTCTTAGTATCAGCACCACCAGCACCCCCCTACTGTCATCACCTCCATCACTGCCTTGACAGCAGCATCTTCATCGTCACCGGCCTCATCAGCACCAACATCTCTGCCACCGTCCCACTGATACTGTCAGTACCGTCAACGTTGTTATCACCTCCTCTCTCATCAGTGCTGACATCCCGTCATCCCCTGTGATTATCACCATTACAGTGAAGGCAGCGACGCCTTCATCATTGTCGGTCTCATCAGCACCAACATCAACATCAGCATCCTGACATTACTCTCACGACATCCACATGATCAGTTTCACCCTCAGCAATGTCGTCACCATTCCTATCGACGGCCTCACAATATGGTCTTTACTGTCACAATGATTTCAGTTGCCTTTGTCATAATCCTCACCATCTACGTCAAAATCAAAGTCACTTCTTTGAAGGACACTCTTACAATCCTCTGCATCATCAGACTTTGTGTTGGTCCACTCTCCCTTGCCTTGGTCAAACAAGATGTCCAGACAGACCTTGGACATGACCCAAGAGGCCAGGCTGTGTAAGGGTACCGGTGGCAGGGAAGCATGCACCTGCCTGCTTCAAGGCATTAATCAGTGAAGGAAATCTAAAAGACAGATTCTTAGAGGTGGTGGTGGGAGGGAATGAGCCATTCCAGTCATTCAACCAAGTCTTCAAACTGAAGGTGTTTGGGGAAAAAGAATAGACACAAAATATAGTGGGACAGAAACCAGAGACACGAGGGGACTAGAAGGTTCGAAACAGAGGTAGGAGAGAGCATGAGGGAACCCTACAGTGTTTACAGGGTGCCCATGCTCTCAGGCTTGGGCAGGCCCTGGACTGCTATTACTCACTGTCACACCTCTTCCCTGTTGGTACCCAGCCCCCATGGTTGCAGAGTGACTCACACATGGCCTCCTTCCTCAGGAAGTGTCTAATCTGAAGGAGACAAAGTGGTTGTGGAAGACACCTAGCACCCCCAGATGGCAGAAGAATAGCATGAATGGGCAGTGAGAATTCAGATCGGAGCGTGGCCTCCTTGGGGAGAGGGAGCTGGAAGAGGACTATCCCTAAGTTCACCAACAAACCCAGAGTTCCTGTTTTTAAAGCGTGTATTACTGTGGTTTGTCTCGCACGCCCACTCACAGCGAGGGCTACCCAAGGCTTATTGGCTCAAGGGTGACAAGAGCAGAACAAAATGGTGGCTCCTCGACGTGGCCCCCAGTCCCAGAGCTGCAGAAGCACCAGGAGGATGCCATGCTTCCTGTTGTATGTGCTTTCCTGCACCTGACCTTGGTACAAGGAATCCTGGGTCGCCTCTATGCTGGCACTGCTGCTGTTCTGTCCTGTGTTCCAGGGGGCTCCAGCAGACTCCCAAAAAAAACTAACCAGCTCCCCACATTGCTGTATCTTTTACCTCGGTGGTAAGTGGCAGTCTCTAGTGTTCCTGGGAGAAGTAGAAATTTCAAGAAAAATGACTTCTTTACATAATACCTCCCATTTCCAGGAAGCAGAGGGAGTGATGGATGTTAGTCGAGAGGGAAAACACCCCAAGACCACACATTCTGGTGGATTCGAAACTACCCTCTATCTCTGGGCCAATCTGTACCATCCTTAAACCCAGGCAAGAAGGACCCTTTCCCAGGAACTGTGCTTTGATGCCTTGCCCTCTGCCTCCTCTGGTTGGCCTCTCCTCCCAGGACAAGGAGTCAGTGGGACCAGGGGACATACCCACCAGGACACTGTGCCCTGCACTTGCAGACTTTTCTCTAAGTGTCTAAACCCTGGATTTCCTGCCCACTTGGCCCTGAGCCCACTTTCAGGGCATGCATGGGCCTCTTCCCTGGGTCTGTCTTCTGGAGAGAAAGCCATGCTTCCAGGAGGTGCACTCTTGGGACCTAGGGGTGACCAAAGGGCAGCTGTTTGCAGGGGGTGTAGGCAGTGTTTGGGCATAGGGTTGGGGTGTCCACAGAGAGTGCAAGGTCCCTTATGCTTCGGGACGGAGCCAGTGGTAACAGAGAAAGGGGCAGGACGGGGTCTTGGTGCCATCTCCCCCCATGTCACTGCATAGAAGTCTCCATTGTCACCTGACTTTCCAGATGGTTATGAAGGTATGTTTGTCAAGGTAGGAGAAAAGGACATGTTTGATTTAACAGTTTGTTAGCTTCACTAACAACATGTAACTATTTAGCCATATGGTATGTGGGCTTCCACTTGTACTCTGGCCCTGGGCCCTGCCAATCTTAGGGCCTGTGCCCAGTGGGTCATTCCCAGAGGCCCTTGAGGCAGCCAGGATGTGTCTGAATCCACAGTGTATTTATTCCTGCTCTGGTGCTCTGTCCCACCTTGTCTTGTGTGTTTATATGTCATATGTGTGCATGGAGTGTCATTCCCCTGCCCACAGGTAGGTGAGCTTGCTCATGCTGTATTGGTGGATCTCTGATGGTTCCACGTGGTAGAATACCAAAACCTAGATGGCGTAAGTCTGGGTTCATGCACATTCTAAGTCTAGGGTTTTGCCTGGTCGGCGACTCATGTTTCTTTCTCTCTCTTGGCTCTGCTCACCCGACACTGACTGTGTTCACAGACAGGCACCCCTCTTTCTCTATGAGCACAAGACAGCTACTGCAGCTCCAGCTCTTACTTCCTTGAAGGTTTAGTTGAAAAGGGACGTGCTGCTTTCTCAGTCCAGTGGGTCTCATGGCATCCCACTGGCTCTAACTGGCCCACAACTGTCCTCTAAACCCATGGCTGTGAACTAGGAAGGTGAGTGAGTGGTTTTCTGGGTGTAAGCCGCATTCTCTGCTCCAATGGGTTGAAAGTGGAAAAGGGGGTGAAGCCCCAGGGAAAATTAAAGACAGTTGAGAGAAGGGAGAATGTCCCCTGGGCAGCTCTCCCGTCCACCCCAGAATGACTCTGAGAGCTCCCCTTTTATGGATCTTTAGGCAAAATCACCCACTTTGAGCCCCAGCTGCCCTGGGTCTGCTCCTCTGATGCTCTGCGTGCCCACTGATGTTTGACCATCCCAGACTGGTAGAAAGCATCTGCTGCCTCACCTGCCTACGTTTTTGGACCTCCCCAAGAACTTGGCCTGTTTGAAGGCAGGGATTCAGCATTTATTCAACATTCAGATGATGGTTCAGCACTGTTGATACAGCAGTAAATCACATAGATCAAGGCCCTGCCTCTTTGGAACTTACATTCTACTGAGAGGAGAAAGTCAACCAATGGGCAAGACTTCCGATGATCATTTAATAAAGAAGGAAATAAACAGGGTCTGGGGGGACAGGGATTGCCATTACAAGTTGGGCAATGATGGCTTCCCAAGTAAGACACAGACTCAGAGGCCTCAAGGAAGAGAGGGAGGGAGTCTTGAGGCTCTGTGGGGGAAGAGCATTCCAGCCAGAGAGGACAGCACATGCGAAGAGGCAGGAGTGCACTTAGCATGTTCAAGGAGTATCATGGAAGCCAGCGGGCCTTGAATGCTGTGAGGGAGGGAAATAAGGATGGGAGACGAGGTCAGAAACATGGTGGTAGTGGGGACAGGGAAGGGAAGAACGGCAACACGCAGGATTTCTGGCCACTGTTACGACTTTTGCTTTTGCACTGAGGAGCCCTTGGAGCAAAGGAGTGATGTAATCTACCTTACACTGTGAAAGTCTCACCCTGGCTGCTGAGTGTGGAACAGGCAGGAGAAAGGATGACTGAGGAAGCTTCTGCAATAATCTAAGTGAAAGATGATGGCAGCCCGGACTAGGATGGGAGTTGGGGCTGGGAGTGGCAAGAAGTGGTCAGATTGTGATGTATGTGGCAAGTGAAGCCACAGGAGTTGTTGATGGATTGGAGTGTGGGATATGAGTGAGCAAGAAGAGTCAAGACAGAACGATTGTTTTTAGCATACGGGTCCAGCGACAATGGAGCTGCTGTTTACTGAGGTGGAGGAGGCTGGGAGAAGAGGGGATCCTGTGCTGGACATGTCAGATCTGATATGCATGTCAGATACCCAGCTGGTGATGTTGAGTAACAGGTGAGATGCACAGGTCCGGGGTAGGGAACAGGTCGGGCTGGAGGTTGAAGTTGAAGCATCATCAGCCAGCAGAGGTTTGATTCCTGTTTGTTTCTCAAAGTCCCCCCAGAACAGGACCTGGCACAGAGCTGGCGATGCTAAATGCAGGATGATAACATCGAAGGTGATGATCCCTTCTTTGTCATGGGTGCTTCCTAAGGAACAGGGGCGTACCCTGGCACTGTGCTCGTCTCCCACCGCCAAGGCCCTCCCTGCAAGGCAGGGACTATGAGAACACCTGTTTTCAGATGAGGAAACTGAGATTCGGAGAGCTCATCCATTGTATACACGCCGAGGGTTCCAGTTGCTGTTTTTCCCGCGTTTCCAGGACCATTAGCATCGCTGTCCCCGTGCCCACCGCCCCCACACTGACCTCTGTGCTGCCCTTCCCTCTGTTGCAGCCTGTGACCAGCTGGCGCTAGGCGTGGTGGCGATCTTCGGGCCGTCGCAGGGCTCCTGCACCAATGCCGTCCAGTCCATCTGCAATGCCCTGGAGGTGCCCCACATCCAGCTGCGTTGGAAACACCACCCCCTGGACAACAAGGACACTTTCTACGTGAACCTCTACCCCGACTACGCCTCTCTCAGCCATGCCATCCTCGACCTGGTCCAGTACCTCAAGTGGCGGTCAGCGACCGTGGTCTATGATGACAGTACAGGTGGGTGGCCAGGCCTGGCTAGGCTGGGGGCAACAGGGGAGGGGGCAGAGGCCCAGGATCAGGCTCTTGTCTGTTCATCCAGCACAGCTACCCCTGGGGAAGAGGCTGTGTTCCATACCCCAGTTCCGCTTGGTCATGCTGATGTTCACCCCTGCACCTGTTCACACCCCATGCACGCCAGCCACACTCACACCTCACTCAACCCCAGCCCACCTCACTCCTGCCTCACACTCACCTCCTCCTCTAGCCACACAAGTGTTCAGATCTGCGTTCCACACCCACCCTGGCAGCGCCACACACACCTGCAAGCCACGCCCACACCTGCCCACGCTCTTCCGCTCACACATTTCCATCTGCTGCAGACACGTCCACCCTCACACTTGAACACTCACACACGTAGCTTACAGCATGGCCTAGTGTTAAGTGTGTACACACTGGAGCCAAAGCCACCTGGTTGTAAATCTCAGCTCTGTCACCTGCTGACTGTATAGCCTCTTTGTGCCTCAGTTTCCTTTAAAATATAAATCTGTAAAATGTGGGATTACAAGATGACAGTGACAAGCACTGGCATGCAGTGAGCACTGAAGGTTGGTACTTCTTATCCTCCTCACACCTGCACCTGCCACACACACTATTCTCTACCCACACTCACACACAGAGACACCTGCACATGCCCAGCTCTGCTCACACACACACCAGCCCCTGCCCTATCCACTTGACCACTGGCCCCAGCCAAGGCCAAGCCTGTGGACATCAGCACCAGGCTCTTGTCTCATCCTGACAGTGCAACAGGAGGGGATAGGCTCTGCGGGGCCTGTGGCTGTGAGCTGTGGGCCCAAAGCCAGTCTCCCTGGTGTGGCTGCACCTGTCCCACCTGCTCTGCCAGCTGGAGCTAATGGTGCCCACATTTTTCTGGGTAGGACCCACCCAACCCACTCCTGCCTTGCCTTCCAAGTCCAGCCTGGGCCCTGACTTCCAGAAAACTCTTGCTGCAAAGCGATACCCCCTGCCTCTCAAGTCCCAGGCCCTTAGTGAGGGCCCAGAGCACACGCCTAGCAGATAACCATCAGCAAATCCAGCAAAAGCACTCTGGCCTTTCCTCTGGATCTCATTCATTGCTGGGAGCTGGAGATACTTGGATAAATAAAACCCACTTGCTCTGTCATCCAGGCTAGAGTACAGTGGTGCCTCACAGCTCACTGTCACCTCGATGTCCAGGGCTCAAGAGATCTTCCCACCTCAGTCTCCCAAATAACTGGAACTATAGGCATGCACCACCACACCTGGCTAATGTTGTATTTTTCGTAGAGACAAGACCTGGCTACATTGCCAAGGCTGGTCTCAAACTCCTGGGTTCAAGCAATTCTCCCACCTCAGCCTTCCAAAGTGCTGGGATTACAGGTGTGAGCCATCACACCACACCAAAACTCAGTTCTTGGTCTTGGCAAGCACCACATCATAGGGAAACATGAATAGAGGATCAAATAGCTGTCTCCATGAAAGGAGCTGTCTCTTTGTAGCTCTATGTACAGAGAAATAATGGGCTGCCATAAGTCACAAGAAGGGCAAGCAGGGGAGATTGGGGGGAGAGAAGAGCCACTGAGGGCACTGACCACTGTGCAGTCCCTGTCTTCATCCTTAAGTCATCCTTGTGAAGGTGTGTGGGACAGGGACAGACCTGGAGAGTCCCCTAGAGATGGAATTTATACATACTTCTGGATTCATCTGCTAAAGAAGGCTACTGTTTACCTGCTGCGAACCAAGTGGTACAAGTGTGATCTCATTTCATTTCATGTTAATCTCATAATAACTCCCTGGAGCAATGAATTAGAAATGAGGAAGTTGAGGCCCAAAGAGGTGACATGCCCTGTGCACTGTCACCCAGCTAGTGAGTGCCAGAGCCAGCATGCACCTACAGGCCTGTTTGAGCCTAAAGTCCATGCTGCTAGCCAGCATGGAGCTGTTTCTTCTCTTCCTCTTTCTTTCCAAAGACTTGAGTCCCAGTATATTTCTTAGCCTGGCCTCATAAGAGAGAGTGACCTTGGCAAGTCACTTAACCCATCTGGCCTTGCTCTGCCCATGTGTAAGAGCTGCTGCATCCAACCTCAAAAGAGCCCTCCAGCTCTCTGCTGCCTGTGATTCAGTGTCAGCTTTTGATTACCTCCTAATGGGGACTGGAAATAGTAGGGAGAGACTCCCTCAGAAAAGACAATTGGAAAACAGTTTATTTAACTCAGGCTTCTACAAGCATCTATTGAATTCCTGCTATTTCCAAAGCACCAGACAGACGATCCTTGAGAGCAGGGATCCCTAGACCGGCTTATTGGCCCCAGCATGAAGACCCTGCCATTCAGTGGCACCCCTGCCCCGCTCCCAGCCACTCCAGTGTTTCTGCAGCGTTGTGGAGTTGTTTCTTAATGTACCACTGCAAATGGTTATCTATCTATGATCTGTTTCTGCTTCCAGACCAGGAGTTAAATCAGTGCCTCCAGGCTGTAACACAGGGTTTGGTACAATGTAGATGTTTTTCAGTGTTGGTTGCGCTGAATCGGATTGAATTGAATTGGAAATCAAGTTGAATTAAACCCTAATTAAAGATTGGAGGAACGAGTATAAGGGTGAAGAAATGAAGATGTTGTTATCCTGTCTTCTTTTGAGAAGTTAATCTTAGTATAGAAGAGTGGGCACCTGCCCAGAGGTTACATGTAATTCTAGGCCATCAGAGCTAAGAATGAAATGACATATACATTCAGTCAGAGCCAGAGGACTTGGGGAGAGGAAGCTCTGCAGCCTTGGCTGGCCTGAGCTGACTTACCAGAGGAGGAGAGATTTGAGCAGGGCCATGAGGATAGGAGAATGAGGATAGGAATCATGAGAGAATTACAGGTGGAGGGAGCAGCACGAGCAGAAGTTAGATTGGACTGTACCTGGCAGCCTTACCAAGAGGACAACCTGGCTAGGGGAGAGGATTCATGTGTGGAAGCGGGGAGGAAAACGTCAGATTAACAGAGTGTAGCTGGCTGTGCAGAGTCTCGGATGTCCAGCCTCAGAGTTCAGGTTTTATCTTTTAAGCAGCCGAGGATCATTGAGTATTATTGAGCAAAGGAGTAGAATAATCAAAGCAGAGGTTTAGAAGGTGGTTCTGAGAGCAATGCACAGGGAAGTTTGGAAAGAGAGCCTAGAGCAAGGACACTGGAGCCCAGGGGGCTGCGCTGGTCCAGGCAGGAGCAAAGGAGGCCAGAATTCAGGGGTGCTTGGAACAGAACATGGGGCCAGAATGGAAGAGAAGAAATGGGTATGAACAGGGTAACGTTGAAGACACGTAACTGGAATGTCATGGGTACAGAGTGGTCAGAGCAGGCACTGACGTAAACCACTGCCCACTGTCCAGTCTAGATGGAGGGTGGAGGAAGTGGCTTTGCAGAGGAAAAGATGCTTTGGCGTGGTGATGGATACCGTGCTAGCAAAACTGGTCAGAGCTGACGCTTGGGTCTGCGGCTCTTACCCCAAGTGACTTTAGCTCTGACTATAAGTACCTGTCACTTCATTCTCAGCTCTGATGACCTGGAATTACCTGTGACCTCTGGGCAGGCACTCACTCCTCTGTAATGCAATTAACTTCTCAAAAGGAGATAGGATAACAACATCTTCATTTTTCCATCCCTATCCTCTTTCCTTCAATATTTAATTAGAGTTTAATTCAACTTTATTTTTAATTTGATTCAATTAAATTCAACTCAATTCAGTTCAACAAATATTTAAAACATAGGGGAGTCAATGGGGGAGTGGGTTTGATCAAGAAGACAATGTGTACTAGGGGTTCAGGGTTGGCGTCAGTCAAATAATATAACTTTGATGATGTACAGTGGGTAGAAAGAAGTGTGCTCCCAGAATCAGGATACGTGAAAGGGCAGGACAATGTGTGGGTCATCAGACCCGTGGAGTGGGAAGCGCTCCACAGCAGGCTTCAGCTGGAGATTGTGTCCGTTAGGATGTGTTGGCTGCAAGTAACAGACAGCCCAACTCACGTTGACTCAAGTAATAGACAGTTATCTCACTGACAAGAGTTCTAGTGATGGGTCTTTCCTGGGCTGATTTAGCAGCTTGACAAAGACAGAGTCCTGGGTCAGTATTGCCACAGCTCTGACAGTAGAGCTGTGGCAATACTGACTTCCACTTAGAGTCACAATAGGGCTGCTGAAGCTCCAAGCGTGCAGTAGGTAGCATACAGGAGGTAGGGGCCAAAGGGATTTTTCTTCTTCATTATCTGTTTTAGAGACAAGGTTTCACCCTGTCACCCAGGCTAGAGTGCAGTGGCACAATCATGGCTCCTAGCAACCTTGAACTCCGGGGCTCAAGCAGTCCTCCCACCTCAGCCTCCCAAGTAGCTGGAACCACAGGCACATCCCACCACGCCCTGCTAATTTTTAATTTTTTTAATAGAGACAGAGTCTTGCTATATTGCCAAGGCTGGTCTCAAACTCCTGCCTTAGACTCTCAAAGCACTGAGATTACAGGTATGAGCCACCACAACCAGCCCAATGAGATTTTTATTAATGCGATTCATGTTTCTTATCAGAGAGGAAGACGTGTCCCAGAACCTTCTAGAAGACAGTCCTGTATAGCTCACTGGGTCCATGCCTACTATTCTAGACATGGTCAGATGGGAATGGGATTGCCACTGATTGGCTCCTACCAATCATGAGTCATCTCATGGGACAGGTGCATTGCCACCCAAACACAGTCACAGTTCTTTTAGCATGCTGGAAGGGAGTGCATTTGTTATCTCTTACTATAATCATGCTGTGTAAGAAACCACCTCAAAAACTCAGTGGCTTAAAATAATAAGAATTTGTTTAACTCACAAGTCTGCAGTGCCAGTGATTTCTTGAACTTGGCTACATGTCATTTTTCTGGTCTCACCTGGATCACTCACCTACCTGGGAGTCAGCTGGCTGTTGGCTGATCTAGGCTGGCCTTGACTGAGATAGCAGGTGTGCTCGGCTCTCCACATGTCTCTCATCCTCCAGCAGGCTAGCCCAGGCACACTGTCATACAGTTGCGGAGGGGCAAGAGAGCAAACCCAACATACAATTCCATTTCAACTGTCTGCCTGCATGGTGCCTGTCAAAATCCTACTGACCAAAACAAATCACATGGATAAGCCCAGTTGGAGGGCCCTGCAAAGTTACATGGCAAAAGGTGTAGATATAGGGAGACGTGAACAACTGGGGCCATGGCTGCAGTCTCCCCCAAGGGAAATGGCTATTGAGGAGGCAACCAGTGTTTGCCCCAAGAGTTTTGTGCCTAATCTATTCTATGCACAACGACAAACTCATCTTGAGGGTGAAAGGACGGAATTTAAAAAAAAAAAAAAAACCTGGGATGAAGAAAAGGGGAGCAGCCTAAGAGTCAAAATATTATTGTGTCTCTAATTATGATTCCATAATCACTTAACCTCTCTGGGGTCACTCATCCTCTGTGGTCCTCAGGTTTTTTTATCTGTAACATTGGAATGAAGATCCTTGTTCTGTATGCCTTCTAGGATTGGGAGATGGTTAAATAGGGTAATGAATGCAGAAGCGCTTTGTGAGTGAAAAGCGTGATTCCAACAACCGTGAGTCACTGCAGATATTTTAAGAGAAATTGATTAGGGGAGCAGCCAGGAAGGAAAGCTCATCTCAGGCAAACAAAGAGAGCCTAGTCCTCTGTTGGGGTGGGCTGAGAGGAGCCTCTGGTCTCCTTTGGGAATACACTGATGGGAAGGAAGTCTGACATTTGCCGCTGGAGAATGTGGGTCACCATGCATTACACGGGACGATGTGCTTGGCTGGCAAGAAGGCCCTGGTGGCCTCTGCTCCAGCATCCAGGCTGTCCCAGTCCTCATAGCCTGGATCCCCAAAGCCCATGTGCCTGCTGATGTGGCACATAACTCTCAAAACCAAACAGGAAGGAGCAAACTGTGCACCCTGGACCTCATGGGGTAACAGATGTGAAAGGGAAGCATCATTCAGCCCAATCAAGAATTTCTGGGATACGTTGGGAGCGGGTAGCCTGGGTGTGTGTCTGGGGACAGCTTGTGGCCTCTCCCTTCTATGTGATGGTCAACTGATAGACTTTTCCTCCTCCTGCTCAAGTCTGGTATTAGGAAGCACTGTGCACCTGTTTGATCCAGACCACTCTGGGACTCCAGAGCCTTCTCCCAACTCCAGCACATGGGTTTGAGACTTCAGTGGGCTGGGGCTTCCTGATGCCCAGTCATGGTAAAGCTTGTGCGGAAGCTCTTTAGGAGGCTTAGGTTACAGGGGTGTATTTCTGTCCCCGAAGCAAAGTGAGATGATAGACACCAATCAGATTGCTTTCCTGATGTCCAGCCCTCAGGAATGGGAATCATTGCTGAACAGACTCAGAGGTGTGTGCCAGAGATTGTTTTGGGAACTGGGACTCTCTGCTGGAAGGCTTTTGGAGAGGGCTGAGTGGGGGGTAGGGGAAACTCTTTCCAGATAGAGTAACAGTTGATTGCAAACTTTAATCCAGTGCAAACTGGCTTCAGCAAAAAAAGTGGGGGGAGGAAATTTGGCTTCCTTTACTGAAAAGTTTGGGACTAATTTTAGCTTCAGGCACCATTTGATCCAGAGGCTGAAGTGAGGATCATTAGGACTTCTTTGCCCTTGTTCTCTCTGACATCTGTCCTGTTGGGATCCTTCTCCAGGTCTACGTGGGGACCCCAGACTTACAACCTCCCTATTTGAAGTTGAGTGAAAAAGGGAGCGTTTCTCACCCCCTTTTTGTGCCAGTTGTTCTGACACAGTTTCTGGGAGTCACTCTGATAGGATCGATGGTATTGTATCTACCTCTGAATCAATACCTATTCCCAAGCTGGGGCCACATGCTTTGCCCCTGGAGCTGGCAATGGACCTCTCCTGAGTCACAGAAACTAGGAGTAGAGGAGGAGTTTTTCCCCAAAGGAAAATGGAAGTGCCATTAGTGGTGGGGGGCAGGGATGGAAAATGCTATATGAACTACGCAGCCAGGACCAGACACTGAGCCTGAGGATGGCTAGAGCCCAGGCAGGCAGGAGCGGACGGCCTGCTTGAGACCTGGCCCTGTGCTGGCTCAGCTTGTTCTTTGGAGGGGCGGAGGGGGCGGGAAGTATAGAGAGAGTAACAAGCAGGCTTGCTCCCAGGCTATGCAGAAAGAAGTCAGCAAAAATGGACCTTGAAATAGGGACAGAAACGAACTTAATTAGACTTAAGCAAGCCATTTGTCTCCAGGAAGTGACATTAGGTTTTCCCTGGAAGTCCCCAGATTAAGTGGTTTTACAAAAATGCCAGCCAAGATAGAGGATAAATTTTTCAGTGTGGGGAGGGAAAAAAAAAAAAAAACAGTAAGTCAATCCAATTATGGAAACTTTTGTTGAGTACCACCTAAGTGCCGGGCCCTGTGCTGGGGGGGTGGGGACCCAGCCCTAGATATCAAGGTGCTGGTGGCAGCATGAGGGGAATGAGGTGGGGTCAGAGGAGGCCAGTGCTAAGGGAGAATTGGAGGGGAGGGTGATCTTTTCCGGATAGAGCAAAAGAGGAAGGCTTCATGGAGGAGGTGGTTGCGCTAAACCTGAAAAAGTAGGTAAGGTTTAGCAAGGCAGCCTGCCCTTGGTGAGGACGAGGGGGGAGACACGAATACCTCCTGGCCTTACCCAGTCCAGTCGTTGGTACGGGTTAGTACCACTGAGGCTGGAGTTGCCTTTTGTGCCCACATCCACGAAGCAGCTCACTGGAGATGTTGAGGGAAATCATGTCCCATGTCTCACAATGTTGGGGGTAGGTGCAGAAGAAGGGTGCCCTCTGATTTAGGCCCCAAAGTCTTTACATCCATTCTGGGTTGGAGAGGAGCAGATGGGTGTGGTCAGTGGGTATTTGCTATCTGTGCCTACTTTTGAATCTATATATGTGTGTATAGGCACCTGTGTGTGTACAGGCCTGAATCTACATATACACATGTGTTGATAAGCCCAACTGTATTCCTGCCCATATTGACATGCCCGTGCGTGTTGCCATGTGTTTGGATGTGCACACACACCTGCTCCCCAGTGTTGTCCATGCATGTCCACATGTCTCTGTGGGCCACATATCTGGGTCTGTGTGTGTCTGCAGACCCGTGGCCATGGGCATGTGTGTGCACACGAGTCCGAGTGGATGCCTGGAGCTGTGGATGCATGCGGTACACGTGTGTCTTTTGTGCCCCATGGCCCCTCAGGGCTCATCCGACTGCAGGAGCTCATCATGGCCCCATCGAGATACAACATCCGCCTGAAGATCCGTCAGCTCCCCATCGATTCTGACGACTCGCGCCCCCTGCTCAAGGAGATGAAGCGAGGCCGGGAATTCCGCATTATCTTCGACTGTAGCCACACTATGGCAGCCCAGATCCTGAAGCAGGTGCGTGAGTGCTGACCAGCAGAAGGGATGATGGGGTCTGCTGGCCACTTCTCCTCCCTTCCCTTCCCAAATGCAGGCCTGATGCTGCCACATCTAAGGTTGACTCCTAGCTCTGCCACTTTCCTGCTCTGTGACCTCGGGTGATCACTCTGCCTCTCTGAGCCTCACTTTCACCAGCAGCAAAATGGACACTGCAGTCTTTACTCTGTGAGTTGGCGTAAGGATGGATTATCCACCCAGCCAGGCTTGACACAAGGAGAGTGCTGAGCAAACACGAGCTTCCATCCCACTTCTGTGCAGGTTGGAGGCAGAGGCTGCAGGGAGGTGCCCGTAGCCACACAGAAGCAGAGCATTCCAGGAAGCAGAGGGGCCTCAGATTCTCAGGAACAGCCCCCAGAATGCCTCACTGCCTCCTTCAGTGACTAATTCCCTGTAGCCCACGGCACTTGGTGTTACTCTCCTGTTACTGGGAGGTTTATCGAGGTTCTCGTACCATCTGCTCAGCTCTGCAGTGACAGAGCAGGAGGAGAATGACTCTCAGTCCTGGGTGGGCCTTCATTCCCAGACACAGCTCAGCATGGCATGCTGGGGACAACAGCCAAGCTCCACCAGTCACCTAAGAAAATAAACAGTGAAATCGCCTACCACCCCCTCCAAGGGTGCCACAGCTGAAACCAAAAACACTGATGTGAGCTGGCGCTTTGTGTGAAAGGCAATTACGTCATCCCAGAAAGCATTTCTGGTGACTGGAGGAGGCATTCTGTGGGGCTTTGACACATGACCCCTTGAGGTCCAGGTGATTTAGGGGGCACAGGAGACATGCTGAGCTGGGATGTTCTCAAGGCCTTGAGGTGCTCAAGCCCCATTCTCCAATTGGACCCCATCAGGGGTACCAGGCCTGAATGGCAGCCTCTATCCCTGGCTCCCCACAAAGGAAGCTCCTTTACACCACACTTAGAAGGCTCATTTGAGGGCCTGATTTTTGCTTCTGTTCTTTCTCGCTGTGTGCCTGGAGAAAGTGGCCCAGGAGTCATTCTTGTCCTTGTAGATGGGCTTCATAATCCCCACCTCATACCATAATGGAGGCATCAGTGCAAAGAGGAAAGCATCAGGAGTTTCTTCTGATGCCCAGTGTACAGTTGACACCCAAGGCTGGCCATCTTTAAAGCTGCTGTCGAGGAAACAAACACTCCCCAGAACGCCCATAACCCTCAGCCTCCCAGTCAGCTGTGCCCAGTGCCTCTCCTCCCTCCCCGGCATGTGTAACAGAAGAATGGTGACAATCACAACTTTGGTTTACTGAGCAGTTACTCTCTGCCAGGTCCATGTAGCTCCTCATTTACCACCACACTGGGAAATAGGGACAATTCTCATGCTCAATTTATAGGTAAGGAAACTGAGGCTTGAGGGGAAAATAATGGATCTCAAGGTCATCCAGGCAGGAAGTCAGAATGGACTCCCAGGTCTGTCTGATTTTAAAACTTCTAGACTTAGAAATGGAAGATTTTGTGCTCAGCTAAAGCCAGATTTAAAGGAAGATACGCCAACCTGCTTCTTGCAGGACTTCTCTGAGCCTGTAAGGTGCTGAGGTGGGCTGTGACTCTTCCAAGGTGGGAGGGAACGGGCAGCATTTGCAAAGTGTCCTTGGCCCGGTGACATTTTCCCCCAGAGCACTCTGTGGGCCCGGCGTTCTGAGGAACTCTGTAGAAAATGCATTATAGTCATTAGTATTATAGATTATAGGCTTCTAATAAAATACATAAACTATATATAATGTAGACTTCATGATGGCACACAGTAAGAAATCCACAGTGGCCATGCGGCCTGCTTTGTGGTCAGCCAGGGAGCAGAGATGTCTCGGCCCTTCTTGGGGAGGCTGAAGGCAGACCTCCCAGCTCAGGCCTGGCTGGGCCAGGGGGTTAGTAGGGCTGAGGGGAAATGTACTGGATCCAGGGCAGGGAGCTCAGCTGAGTGGAGTCCAGGGCACGTGAGAAGGCAGCCTCAGACTGACGCCATCAGCATTTCTCTAAGTGTGGCAGACCAGGGAAGCCAGACCCCACCAGCCCTGTAGAATTTGGAAGCTTTGAAGAATGTGACCCAAAAATCTGCATTGTAATCTGTCCCAGGTGACTTCACAGCACACCCCAGTGTGAAATCCAGTGCTGTCTGCCAGGCAGTCATTGTCACTATTCAGAGGTGGTCTCAGAGGACACCCTACTCCAAGCAGCCAGCCTTCCCCAACCCACTGCCAGGCCCATTCTCAGCCCTGGGTGGGGAAGGGGAAAAGGCTGCACAGGGGTTCCCTGCTGATCGCTAACACTCTGCTTTTCTGCAGGCCATGGCCATGGGCATGATGACCGAGTACTACCACTTCATCTTCACCACTCTGGTAATGTACCTCTGGGTCCTGGCACGGGAAAAAGATGGGACTCTATTGGATTAAGGTCACTGTGGCTTGGCCTGTGCCAACCCACTGGGGTCAATTGCTGCAGCTAGAGGAGACCCAAGCTGGACTTGCTTCCTCAGGCTGTAGGGGCGGCCCCAGGCAAGGACACACATATGTCTTAGTGACCTGCCCACTTTTGAGAAGCAGCCTCATGTTATAATTGAGGACGTGGCTTCTGGAGCCAGTGTGAACACCAGCTCCTCTGCTCACTGGCGGTGGGACCTTGGCTAAGTCACTTAACCTCCCTGCCTCAGTTTCTTCCTCTGCAAAATGGGCTTCTGCCTCCTAGGATTGCTGTGAGCACCAAATGAGTTAATAAAGTAATATGCAATGCCTGGTACATGCAGAGCGCCAGAAGTATTCTCTCTTATGATTATGATGAACCTTGGTTCCTAGCCCACACGTCCCCACGCATGTCTCAGGCCTCACGGGAATTTTCACTTTGGATTCTGGCAACATTCATACTGAAGTCTGCCCACTCACTGTCAGCTAGCCCAGCCCACCTACAGGCTCCAGATGGGCCCTGTCCAAACTCTGTGAACATTTAGGGCCATTTAAACCCATTAGGATAATTAGCCGTGGCCTGAGATCAGCAGAATAAAGAGATTCCTGTGCCAGAAGGGCACCCACCCTGAGCCGCCCTGCCTTGCAGATAGACACCCTCGGAACTTGCTGGGGCCCTGGGTGGACTATTCCACCCATCCGAGGTCTGGGGCGAGTGACAGCCTCACTGACTATCCTGTCGCTTTTCAAAAAGCCTCCTGCGGTATGTGTCGGCCAAGCCACTGCAGTTCTGCAGGCCTCTAACCACATTCATTCATTTAGCCAGCACCCAGCTAGCATTCCCTACCCAGAACCTAGGAGCCCCTAGGTTCTGAGGGTCTGGTGGAAGGTGGGAAGTTTGAGTGAGTCTTACAGAAAAGCAGATGCTTGAACTAGGCCTCAAAGGATCCATAGCAGTTTACCAAGGGAGAAAGACAAAGGACATTCTATGTAGAAGGAACAGCATAAGCAAAGGCCAAGAGACAGATTAGCTCTTTGTGGTATGCAGGAGCTGGCTTGATCTAGTGGGTGAGAGCCAACTGCATTATCTCCTCCTAAGTCTATGTCATGTTGGTAGCTGGTTATTAAGCACTTACCTTCCCTACAGCCCCTCCCACTACACCCTGTGCCCACAGGAGCCACCTGCACTTCTTCTGATCCAGGGCTCAGACCTGGGGACCTACCAGGAGCCACGCTGGGAGAACAGGATCCTGGAAGCTGGAGACCGAGATCAGGCAGGGTGAAGCCAGCTCCCTTGAATCCCTTCTGGATTTCCATCCAGCCAAGCTGGCTTCTTCCTGCCATGCTGTCTCCTGGAAAGTCAATGGAGGCTTAGGATGAGGCTACCAGACCCCTAAAACTCTACCTCTGTTCAGAGCTGGGAGCAGGGCAGAGGAGCAAGACTGGGAAGGTGGGGTAGGGCACATTCCAGGGGTCCACAACCCTCTCCCCACTCATGGCAGCCCTCCACATCCCATCCTGGGATCCTAGGGTGCTAAGACCAACTCCTGGATCTGCGGACACTACGATCCTCTCCCTAAGACCTTCGACCTTGACCCCAGTGGGCAATGACATTATTGTAGAGGGTACTGGGGTCACTGGGGTGGTGCCTTCCTCAGAATCTTGTCTGGAAGGTCAGCCAGGCTGCAGGACTGAGGGGCCCAAGCTTCAGGCCCTACCATTTCATTAGCTCGAGGACCAACCCCTCTGGTCTTGGAATGAGGCTTGAGCCAGGCAGAGATGCTTTTAATAGGATATTTACAGCTGGGACTGGAAGCAAGGCCAGAGGGGGTTTAACCCCAGGCCCTGTGCGGACAGAGTGGGTGGCAAGGGCAGTACTCAGGTGAAGGAGGTAGGAAGATTTTGTTCCTGCTCTGACCACATCTGAGTCTTCTGGAACCTCCCAATATCCCAAGGCTCTCTGCTTGGTGGCCCTGTCTTGTATTCTGTGTTGGATCCATCTCTATACACCCATCTCACCCAAGAGCCTAACTCAGTGCCCGGGACCAAGAGAGCATTCTACCTCTCTTCCCACTGGCAGACCTCAGCTAAGTGGCCAAAAAGTAGTTGCCTATCTGAAGAGTGGTTTCTACAATCTTGCTGGTGACACAACCCCTACCCTGGGAGCATTTAGCTATGTAGGGGCCAGTTATTTATTTGTTACCAGGACTGGACATTAGTGAGTGGGGATCAGGGATGCTACACATTCTGTGAGGGGCAGGATTCTGGAGACAAATCGTTCAGCCCCAGATGCCTACGGTGCACCATTGAGAAACACTGACTGGTGCTCAGCCAGTCCGAAGTTGGATGTGGGAGAGTGGGCGACGCACAGAAAAAGAGATAGTGAGAAGAGGCAGAGGAGGAAGGGATGATCAATTGGGATGTGATGTACCCAGGGCAGCTGTGGTGTGCTAAAGTCTCTAGGGAACAGACTAACCCCAGCCAGTGTTCATTCTTCTTCATTTTCTTAATCAATCATTGATTTATCCAGCAGCCGTATACAAATGCTCTCCAAGGTCCTGGGCACTGCGCTAGGCACTTGGGTGGGAGGGGTGTACAGAGATAGATCCAACACAAAACTCATAAGCTGGTGGCTTCCTTCATGTATATAAGAGTCAAGAACTGTGCCCAGTTAACCTCTCTGTCCCCAGCGCCCAAATAGAACCTTGCACACGGTGGGGGCAACGTCTGGTTGGATGGACAGATAGATGGATGGATGGATGACTGCAATACAATGTGGAAAGTAATCAGTGAAACTGTCAACATATTGTCATAGCCACGGTCAGTTAAAACCACTCTGATGCCAGTTGTCCTGAGTTAGAATTGAGACTTCCACTCCCTTGGGCAAGTTCCGTAACCTCTCTGTGCCTCATTTTCTCATCTATACCATGGTGGCAGTAATATTACTACCTCACAGGATTGTTACGCTGAGTATTTTGTGCATTGACGTCAGTAAAATGCATAGAACAATGCTTGGCACTTATTACTCTGTAAGTGTTAAATAAACAAAATAACTCCTGCTCTTGTTTTCTGTGTGCTCAACATACCCCATCCCATCCAAAATTCAGAACAACTTTCCAAGGGAGCTTGACTCTCCCAGTTTTATAGAAACGTGGAAACTGAGGCTCAAAGAGGTCACTCCGCGAGAAAGGGGCAGAGCACCAGGGAGCTGTCCAGCCCCAAAGCCTCCGCTGAAACCTATCATGCTGAAAGTCCACACCAAGTGTTCCCTGGCCTCCTCTGGCAGGCTCAGATTTCACACGATGCCTGGTCATGTTGGTTCAGGCATGGTGATTGAAGTCAATGGGGAAATGGAACCTCCTGAAATCCCAGCAGCGCCCATGCTTCCCCAGTTCCAAAGCCCTCTGATTTTAGGGCTCACACCAATAATCCCAACTATTTGGGAGGCCAAAGCAAGAGGATTACTTGAGGCCAATATGAGACCAGCCTAGGCAATATAGTGAGACCCTATCTCTACAAAAATAAAAATATTAGCCAGGCATAGTTGGGCAGGCCTGTAGTTCCAAATACTTGGAAGGCAGGCTGAGGCAGGAGGATTGCCTGAGCCCAGGATTCGAGGCTGCTGTGAGCTATGATGATGCCACTGCACTCCAGCCTGGGGGACACAGCCAGACCTTGTCACTTTAAAAAGGAAAGCCCTCTGATTTTCCTCTTTCTGTGTTTGCCAGCAGCAGGGCAAGTTGCATTCCCCACTGACTGGTGGGGAAAGCTGGCATCAGGGACTTGCCCGAAGCCTCGTAGCAGATCAGTGACAGAGGCCTTGGCTCCTGACTGCTGGTCTTGTCCGTGGCTCTTCCGGCTCACTGTCCTTCCTCCCCACACAATCTGAGGGTCGGGAAGAATGGACTCTTCCAGGGAGACACAGCTCCTGCAATACACACAGATCTGTAGTGGAATATGGGGGTGTCTGCCAGGGTATCTCCCAGCAGAGCCCCATCTGTCAGAGCACCAACTGTGTCGCCCTGGTCCTCTCCCCCAGCTCATATCCTCTGGCTTCAGCATCTTCTTCTGGCGCTGTTGCTGAGGCCTCTACCTCGTGATCCTCCCTCTTTGTGCCCATTGGTCAGTTGTGGCTTATTTTGGAGGGCAGTGGCATCTGGCATTTATTGCCTTCCTTTTAGGAAACCCACATCACCAATTCTTTGCCTCTAAAAAATTCTCCAAATTTGCTTCTCCCATGCAGAAGACATTTTAATTACCCCAGCTGCCATTATCTGTTCCAACCAGCTTTGAGCCATTCCCAGATAACCTCGCGTTAATCAGCCCCAGCTGAGCCCCTGGTACATGTCAAGTGTAGGTAAAAGCCTGGAGGTGAAAAAAGAATTATAATAAATTAATAGATAAGCAATCACAATTAATGCCACTTTCCGGCAATAACAGTTATATCATGGGGAAGATATTTTCATCTGTCATTCCTTAAGGCGATGTTTTCCAAGCTTCAGCTCCTACCCATTCAGACCCATGGGGTGCTAATGAATTAGTCTATTATGTTATGCTGAATGTTTCTAAAAGGTCCCTCGTCGATACTGAATTCAGTGTGTCAACATTTGGCATCGAGAACGCAACTTTTTGCCAAGCAGCAAGGTTGCACACAGTTCACGGTGTACAGCACTTGGGGTCTTGGCCCCTGGCAGTCTGAACAACAACAAAAAAAATTGGAGCTGGACAAAGAGGCCTCTTCATCAGCTCCCCATTGTCACTGTCCTCGTGTTACAGGGATGGGTGCACTCTGTGCCACAGGCCCTACAACACTTTGCAGCTAAGCCCAGGCTCAGGGGTGGCGGGGAAGAAGATGACCCCCAGCACTGCCACCCCAGCCTGCCCGCTCTCGGGTGGTGAGCAGCTACAGCCTCTGCATCCCTCTCAATAGACCAAATGCTGCCTCTGGAGACTGGAAGGGCTGGTTCCACCCACACCCAAACCCCCGCCAAGACCAGAGATGCTGTCCTGCACACTGAATCAGGTTGGCCTCTGGTCCTAGATGAAGGTAAACTGAGTCATGGAGGCCCTGGGCAGCCTAATGCTTTGGCATCTTTCAAGCCTTAGATATAAGGTCAACATTGAATTGGAGAAGAGGCTGAACCCCATACAGGGAAGGATGAGGAGGGCACCCCCTGTAGGCAGAGCTCAGCTTCTCCCGCATGGCAGTAGGTCAGCCCTGGCCCAAACTTGCACACCACCACTGTGCAAAACGAAATCCTTCCAGCTCCCCAGATCCTCCTTGCTGAAAGGCAGTTTGGGAAAGATCTCATCCTCCACCCCAGGCAAGTTTACCAACCCACTCCTAAACTTCCAGTCTGTAGATAACCCCGAAGTTGATCAGCCACTGCTCAGTTCCTGCTACATGTCATGTGTAGGTAAAAGCCTGAAACTGAAAAAAGAATTATAATAAATTAATAAACAATCACAATTAATGCCGCTTCCCAGTAATAACAGTTATATCATGGGGAAGATATCAGGTTGGTGCCATTAAAAGTAATGGGCAAAAACCACAATTACTTTTGCACCAACCTCACACTATTACCTGCCATTCCTTAAAGCTCCACCTGAAAGGAGGGTGTGAATCACTTGTCGCTACGTTTCAGGCTCTTCCCAGTGATGTCTAAGTGCCCCAGGAGCCACTCAGCTTGCTAACCCTTCTTTCCACTTTGGGTAACAGGAGTATTTGGCTCATGGTTCATGGGGGAGACAGACCCAGACACGAGCAGTTATTACCGGTGGCATGAAGACCCAAAAGTCCCAGGATAAGAGCAGAAGCACCTCTGGCCCATACTGTTGTGCATGTGTACAGGAACAATCAGGAGAGGCTTCCTGGAAAAGGTGACACTTGACTTGAATCTTGGAGAACAGCTCACCCAAGAGGGGTCAAGAAGACCCTGCCAGGAGATAGAAGGCATACAAAGGTGCTGGACAAAGGGATGAGAAGCAGGACCAAGGAGACAGAAGCCAGCAAGAATGGGAAAGGGAGGCTAATGTAGTTGGGTGTTCCTGGAACAAAAAAAAAGTGAGAGTGAGAAGGAAAGTGAGGCCGGAGGGGTGGAGAGCTTTGGAGAACTGTACGAAGGAATTCGCACTGTATTCTGAAAAGGCTACAAGAAGTCATGGAAATATGTGCAGTGTGGAAATGACAGGCCTGGATTTATACTTTAGAAAGATCCCTCTGGTCCCTGCCTGGAGGGCAACTGCCCTGGCAGTGGACATGGGCTGGGGGCCGGGCGGCGGCCAGAGCCTCTGTGTGGGAGGAGATGAGTCACCATAGGGAAGAGGGAGGGCTCTGGAGCTGGGTAGCCTGGCATTGCTTCTGTCACTCCCCAGCTCTGGAACCCTGAGCAAAAGACCTAATATCTGTGTGGCTCAGTTCTTTCCTCTAAAATGGGGTGATAATAACATCCTCTTAGTAGCGTGCCCATGTGAATTAAATGAGTTAATGCAAACAAGGTACTTTGAACAATGCCTGCCGTTCTGAGGTTTGTAGGTGCTCAGTAAATGTGAGCTGACTGTGGTGGTTCTGACACTGCCAAGAAGAGTAAGGTAGGAAGGCCCCAACCTTTGTCTGCCCTTGGGGGGTGTGCCCAGTAGCTGTCACAACCTGCTGCCAGACGGCGCAGAACACAAACGTGTCAAACACATACATGATGTTTAATATGTCCCAGGCATGTTCTAAGGACATCCACAAACACTTCTTTTCCATGACAACTCTATATGGTAGGTGGCATTATCAATCCCATTTTGCAGATGAGGCAACTGAGGTGAGGAGAGTGGGTAACCCTTGAGCCCAGGTGGTCTGGTCTGTGTCTGGTCGCCTCAGGGAGCCGCCCCGGAGGAGCTGAGGGAGGGAGACCTCTTCTGGGGTGTTTATTCTCTCTCCTCCTTGCTGCTTTTCTCCAATTCGACAGGCGTCCCGATGGAAACCCAGACCCATCTGTGTATGTTTCTCAGTCACGAGTAATCGCTTAGATTAGTGGCTTCTTAAAACAGTCACCGGGCCCCACAACAGACATCAGAGTATCTCAGTGTGGTTCCTACTCTACAAAAATAAAATATCTCCAAAGACAATTCCAATGCACGCCTCGTCCTGGACACCCACCGGGGGACATAGAACATGGAGGGTTTGGAGTAAGACAAACAATGATGCATTAGTCAATGTTTAACAACCAGCTCTCTGAAAGGGAGAGAAAAGACAAAACACAGAAATCCTGATTTGTCATGCTTGCAAATTTCCATGGTACAAATACTCCCACCATGGCCAATACCGAGCTAGCCATGTAATACCACTGAAGGCAGAGTTGGGAAGAAATGCTCACATTCAGCTCTCACTAGCCAGTGTGAGCAGTGCCAGCACAGCACTGAAACAGACCTGGGTGCAGACCCGACTCTGACTTGTATGAGCTGTGTGACCTCAGGTAAGTCACCTCACCTCTCCGACTCTCTTTTCTCATCTGTAAAAATAGAATAGAGTGCTATGCTATTCAGTGCCTCCGTCACAGGGGGCTGTGAACATGAAGCCATGGGGCCCATGTGCAGGGCTGAGCGCTGCCAACCCCCACTCCCTACTGACACTGAGGCCACGTAGACACTCTCTGTCCATCTCAGTGGGAAGGTCCCATCTGCTGAAGCCCCTCCCTCCTGCTGTCATCCAGCCCCTTCCCCATCCAGATCCTGACCTGGAATCAGGGCCATATTTGTTTGCACAAACTTGGGACCAGACTTTCTTGCCTGGGCTTAAGTCTGCTCCAAACCCCTTCCCTACTCTCCAGATTGTCAAAGAGGAAACCAACACAGTGCATTCGAGAAGGAGGGCACTTTGGGGGTGCAGGAGGAACAGGAGAAGTGTAGCACCCATTAGAGACATCGCAGAGACCGGAGGAAGCCAGCCAGCGTGAAAGGGCCCCAGGCTTTATCACTCATCATCTTTCCATGAGTCATCGTTGATTTAACCAAAGCTGCGGCTGTGTTGGGGCTGGATGCTCCTCATGACGGTGGCAGTCACAGAGAGACAAGCACAGCCCAGTGTGTCCCCAGCTTCTGTCTCCCAGCACCGGATGGAGTGACCGAGTGGGGTTCCCAGGGGAGAGGACAGGCTGGGGGCCAGGGGGAGGGCAGCTTAGTGAGGGGAGAGCGTGGGAGAGTATAGACAGTGGATGAGGAGGAGTTCAGACAGTGACCTCAAGACTCAGTTTCCCCACTAGTGGGATAGGGCCGATCTAGACTGCGCAAGTATATATTTCAAAAAGTCAAAACCATGAGTCTCATGCAGATATAGAAGGAACATGCGTCAGAGATAGATTCAACTCACTAACAAGGGAACCAGTAGGATGGAAAAGCTGACTCAAGGAGCATTTGAGGAATTGGGTATTTATAGGTATTTCAGGCGGGGTTGTGGGGAGCATAGACTAAGACTTCTAGGTTGGATAGAAAATGGATTAATGTCCTGTAAGGCAATAAAACCGCAACCTTGGGGAGTATCTTCTCTATTAGACAACATTCTACAAATTAACCCAGAGTCTGAGCTTTCAATGAGTAGCTGACAATGAAGTCAAACCCAGGTGCATTCTCCAGGAGAATGAAGTAATCCTGGCGGGCTTGGTAAACCATGTTTCATTGTCATGTTGGAAAAACACGCTGCTCCCCTTCTGCCTAATTTCCAGGTTTGGGGTGGTTTTCCACAGGACAGAGCTCATCTTTGTTCCTCTCACTCCCACCTGCCACCTCCTCTGCTGACATCTCTAACTAGCTTAGGCACACCTGACTTCTCCCTTCACCCCCTGCCCCTCTCTGCCTCCTTCCTTCACCAGCCCACCCTGCCCCCAGGGCCGGAGCTGCAGGGAGGGGCTAGAGCCAGGCTTGCCTGCATCGAGACCCTGTTCTCCTAGACCCTTGGCCAGGCCTACCTGGCCCATGACAGGCAGGCTGACCACTGCTCAGCTGCTCCTAGGAGGCTGGGGGTGAGGAGGTCCTGGCTGGGGAAAGAAGAGGGCCATACTTTTTGAGTCCTAGGCAGAAAAGACTGTTTTTAAAAATCCTCTTCTATGGGATACAATGCTCCCTTCAGCCTCCCTCTGTAACAAGATGCTCAGATCTAGTAAGTCTCCCCACTTTGAAAGGAAGCAGCATCATTAAGCTTCCTCTGTGTGTGAGGCTGGGTGTTTTATGTGAGCTATTTCACTGGGTCCTAGAAAGGGGAGTGATCCCCATTTTGTGGATGAAGAAACAGGCTGAGATCCCCTGGTTGGCGTGGGGAGGTCAGTTGCCTAAGTTCTGAGTCAGACTCCAGGTGCAGTGGTCCTATGGGTGCTCCTGTGACACCCCGAGATCCCGCACCCCTCCTGCAGGGCTCTGTGGCCTCAGGCCCTGGGCAGCCCTGATTAGGGAGCAGGTAGGTGGGGCTGGAGCTCTCAGAAGTGAGCATGCCTTGATTTACACAAACCTCTCTCTATCCAGGATCTCTACGCTTTAGATCTGGAGCCCTACCGCTACTCAGGCGTGAACCTGACGGGGTTCCGAATTCTCAACGTGGACAACCCACACGTCTCAGCCATCGTGGAGAAGTGGTCCATGGAGCGGCTGCAGGCGGCTCCCAAGGCCGAGTCTGGCCTGCTGGACGGAGTGATGATGGTACGATGGCTGGGCAGGGTGGCTTCCAGGGGCTCCCCACCTGCCTGCCTTCTTGCCTTCTCTCCTTCCTCTTCTTTCTTTCTCCCCTCCAGCATTTCTCTTATTGAGACCTCCCATCTGTCAGCCAGACCCCAGGCTAGGGGTTGGGGACACAAACATGAAACAGACACAGTTCCTCCCCAAGGGACCCCATCTGATGGGGATCCAGACCTGTAGCAAAAGATCATAGAAAACAGGAATAAGGCCCCGAGATGCTGGTCACAGAGGACCTCAGGCTGTGACACACAGGTGTGAAGGCCGAGGAGGTAGTGTGGTCAGGGCCTAGGTGGCAAGGGTGCGGTGGGTGGGCACGAGAAGGTCTGAGCTGCAGGGGGTGGTGCTCAGGGTGTCTGTAGAGCAGCAGAGTCAGCCAAGCCTGGCCATTCCCCAGAGGCAGGGACAGCCACCTCCAGGACCCCCAGGCCTGTTAGCTCACCAGGACATCGTGTCCCGTGGCAGGGGAGGAGAAGGAAGACAGGGCAGGGTGGGCCAAGGACCAGAGGAGGGCCTGGGGAGCCGCTCTCAGGCAGGCCCTTCCCTTCAGACTGATGCAGCCTTACTGTACGACGCTGTCCACATCGTGTCCGTGTGCTACCAGCGGGCGCCGCAGATGACCGTCAACTCCCTGCAATGCCATCGGCACAAGGCCTGGCGCTTTGGCGGCCGCTTCATGAACTTCATCAAGGAGGTGAGTGTCCCGCAGCCCCCACCAAAGTTGTCTTCTGCGGGCTGTGGGCCCTGCAGAGCAACAGAGCGGTCTGGGAGTGAGGCACAACTGATTCTCATCCATGCCACCTCGGGCAAGTTGCCTCACGTCTCTGAGCCTCAGTTTCCTTGTGTGAAAATCGGCTCCGTAGGACGAAGCTTATGGCATGATTGAGGGACATGCATCCTGGGCATGTGGTAAGTGCCCAGTTGGTGGTCAGCATTGCCAGCGCGATACAGCACGGGCTCGAAAGTACAACAGATGAGGGTGTTTGCTTCCTGGCTGTATGACCTGGAGCAAGCTGGAGAACCTTGCTGAGCCTCAGTCACCTCATCTGTGAAATGGGTTTCTGAAGCATAACCTACCTTGTGGGCATGTGAGATGAAGTTAGACATTGCCTGGAAAATGCTTAGTGCAGGAGGAGGGTCATTACATAAAAATCAGCCCCACAAACTCATCTTCACATCATGGGCCCACTGACCAACTTCCCAGCCAGCATCCCCACTGGGACCCTCCTCTCCTGGCACCAGCTCTTCTGTGGAAAAACCCATCAGTGGAGCTGATTCTAGAGAAACCAGGCAACACGGAACCTGTCCTGCTTCCAAGACCATGGATCACACAGTGTGTATTTCAAAGACTTCTCCACCTGCCCCTGTCCTTGTAAGCTTTGGATGGCAGGGCTTATTGTCCCCACTTTATGGATGGAGAAAGTTAAGGCCTGAACTTGCACCCTGGCTCCATCACAACTAGCTGCGTGACTTTGGGTGAGATGATTAACTCTTTGATCTCCAGTATGGTATAGGGAGTGCCTGCCTCAGTGTCGGGAAAACAGTGAAAACCTATGTGAAAAGCACCTAACCCAGAACATGGCCAGAGTCAGATCCCAGCAGATGGTAGACAAAGAAAGTTCAGGAGGACGAGATCTAGGGGGGGTTACCCTGGGCCAGAGGGAGTGACCACATCCAGAGCAACACCGAGGGCAGAGGGGAAGCCCTGTAGGAGGACTCCAGAAAGAAAGGATAGATGAGCTCCCTGTTACAATCACAGCGGGCCAGAAACGAAGCTGGCTGCCTTCTTAGGAGTGCACTCATGTATTCAATAGCACTTTGTCACTGGCAGCTGGATTCCAGGCTCCGAGCTATGCCCTGGGTTCTCAGCAGGGCTAAAACAGACTTGACTGTACACATGCAGAGCCTAGGGAGGGAGGCGTTCATCAGGTTCCAGCACTAATGGAGACAATCTCATATGCAAAGGAAGGCAGCTCCACAAGAGAGAGTGAATCGCAGAGAAACGCCCACCTTGGATGGGGGTCGAGGGAGGGCAGCTTCCCCTGACATCCCGAGTTCACCGTCGCTGCTTCCAGATGAGGCCAAGTACAGCTCCTCTCACGTAGTAGACCAACATTAGGAGGAATATGGATAATACAGGGCTTTTAGGGCACCACACATGTGCCTTTGCATCTTGTCTCCACTTCTCCCCAGCTGTGTGGCTTCAGACAAGTTACGGGACATCTCTGAGTCAGTTTCCACACCCAGCAAACTCCACCTCATAGTTATTGTGGGGGATCAATTCAGTCCCTGGATACAGTTTCTTCACCCCTAGAAGGGACTCCAGTCCCAGATGTTTTGGTGTAAGGACCTGATGATACCTTCTCATCCAGCTTCTCATCCCTCAAAACTGCAGAGGACATCCCACTGTCCGATGCCCTGAGCAGGGCCCTGACTGGGTGATCAGCGGCTTGCTCTCAGGGAACTCTGAGACCCGACTTTCAGCCCCCTGCACCCCCTTCCTCAGCAGGCTTCTGCTGAGCAGCCCCAAGGCCACTGTGAGGGTCTCACATCCCAGGCCACAACCTCGTCCTATTGCTCCTCTGGCTCAATCAGGAGATTTAGGAGCCCTAGGAGCCAGACAAAAGGGGCCTGAAAGCATCACTGCTTTTTCACTGCATGACCTCAGACAAGCTGCTGAGGCTTTCTGCGCCTCAGTGTCCTCCTCTGTCCAGTGGAGATAACGGTAGCACCTTATCGTCGGGTCGTTCTGAGGATGGGTGAGTTACGGCACGTGTGTTGCACGGAGGACAGTCCTGCTCATAGCAAGTGCTGAACAGGTTGGCTGCCATCACTGTTACTTCTGTGATCGCCACTGTTATCCCTGTGCCTTCCTGTTTGCTGACGGGGTTCCACTAGCTGTTCTCCAGGCCACATTGTTTCAGGGACACCCACCTGTTCACACTTCACCCCTCACCCCTTGGAAACCTTGAGGCTCAACTGTGAGTCCCTGAGGGGAGCAGATTCACCACTGCCCACCATAGAAAGGGGGCTCCATTCTTCTTCCCAGGGTCAACTGGCCTGGGGTGGCATGTCTGGCCCCAGGCCCAGTGACTGACCCTCACTGCTCACGCTCCCTTATAGAGCACTCTCGGAAACATTCATCCTGTCTCATTTTAGGGCTGTGAACACAGCCAAGGCCCAGAGTAGCCCCGTGGGGCCTGTGGTCCCACAGCTGGCCACAACTGAAGCTCAGATGCCTGCCCCAGCCCAGCACCATCCCCCCTCAGACCACTCCCAACTTGCCCATCTCCCCATCTGATTATGTGACACTAAATCATTTTAAAGACTTGGCATTTCCGAGAGGAGCTGGAAAATACCAGACCGGAGTTCAGAGCGCGTGAAGCATCTTTCATTTAGCAAGTCCTGAGCGGTGGCTAGAGGGGGCAGGCAGTGCAGGAAATGTCACTGGGAGGAGCCGCCTGCACTCCCTGGCCTGCCCTGCCCACCCGCCCACAGACAGGCCATGCACCTGCTGGCCTTTCATTCCTCAGTAGCTGACAGGCAGGAAGGCTTCCCTCACAGTGCAGGTTTGAAGGCACCTGCTGTGATTTCCCCTGGGGGCCAAGAGATAGCCCGAGGGCATGGGGCTGAAGAGGAGAAAAGGCTGAGGGAAGCTGAGCTTCCCTGTGAAGTCATAATCAGTGGCTTTTACCTTCTCTGATGCATCTTTTAATCTCTGTTCCCAACCCTCCGCCCTCAGCTCCCTGGGCACCATGTAAACTCTCCTGACTCCACCTTGGGTGCCTCGACCCCAGGCCTTTCAGCGCTGTCACTGCAGTGAATCTGTCCTGTCCCGCCCCAAGTATCCCACCCCTGCATCGTTCAGTCCCTCTTTGAGCCTCAGTGTGCACATCTGTAAAATGGAGGCAAGGCTGATGCCCACCTTGCAGGATAACAACAGTGAGAACTGAATGAGCTCTTGTGGGAAAGGATAATGGCCCTCTGCGACCAGCTGTCTACTGGAGCCTCGAGCCTGGGCCCAAGTCCTTTCTTTCTAGCCTAGGGCCAGCCCACAGAGCTTCACAGATGGAAACCACGAAGAAGAAGTGATCATCTCTGCCAAATCCTTGCGATTATATATGCAGACACTGTGCTCAGCACTCTGTGCGTTTTTATACCTGTGAAGTAGGTGGTTTCGCTCTTCCCGAAGCTCAGAGTGGTTGCATTGTTTGTGCAGAGGCCACTTTCTAACCACTTTGATTTTACAGCCTCCCTCGCCTCCAAGGCACTCCCTCACTGCCTGAGTTTGTACACTAGCCATTTGCCTATAAAAGTACCGTAGAGCTGCCCATGTGCTTGGAGATGTGTAAGGGTTTTCCTCTGAGATTTGTCAGTAAAACTCCAGGGAACTGTGGACCCATGGCCTTGTGGGTTGAACTGTGAGTGTATATGTGGGTGCTTGTGGGGGCATTCTGCAGGGAGAGGCTGTGGAGCCCAATTCAGAATCTGCACGGGGGTATGGCTCGGAGTGGTTAGGAACCCAGGGCAGCAAAGCAAGGAATTGGAGCCAGGCTTCCACTACTCAGACCTTCCATTGCCCCTGCCTCTTCTCCAGATACAGCTCTCTGGCCCAGTCTGACTGTATGAGCTCCCAGATTTTCTCCCCTCCCATTGCTCTCAAGCCCACATTTGTTCCCAAAGACTTCAGGATGCGTGGAGCTTGGTCTTCCCCCAATACAGAAACCTCGGGTATTTAACTGCGTACCAGCTGCCACCCCAAGTTCTTGTAGGAGGGAAACAGGTCCAGACTGAGGTATGGGGCCCTGTGATCCTGGGTTCTAGTTTGGCTCTGCCTCTTGTTCACTCTGTGTGCTTGGGCGGCCCATGGACCCCTCGAGGCCAGCTTCCTCAACTAGAAAGTGGGAACCATGGTCCTTGCCTCCCATGATCCACACCTCCCACGGCTGTGGTGGAGGTTGCACGGCATGAACCGTGTGAAAGGACCATGTAGACTCAATGCTCTCAGCCTGCAGGAAAGATGTTATCTAGAATCAAGTCAGCAAGCTTTCTCTGTAAAGGGGCACATAGCAAATAGTTTAGGTTTCACAGGGCATACAGTCTCTGCTACAACTAGGCAACTCCACAGTTGCAGCACGAAAGCAATAGCTAAACACAGAGGCATGGCTGTGAGCTAATAAACCATTTACAGAAGCAGTCAGGGGCCAGGATGACCCTCTAGCCACAGTGTGTCAACCTCTGTTATAGAAGATGGAGCTTTTCGGCAGGTGCGGTGGCTCGTGCTTGTAATCCCAGCACTTTGGGAGGCCAAGGTGGGTGGATCACAAGGTCAGGAGTTCGAGACAAGCCTGACCAACACAGAAAATCCCTGTCTCTACTAAAAATAAAAAAAATTAGCTGGACATGGTTGCACATGCCTGTAATCCCAGCTACACAGGAGGCTGAGGCAGGAGAATCGCTTGAACTCAATAGGCAGAGATTGCATCACTGCATTCCAGCCTGGGCGACTGAGCTAGACTTCATCTGAAATAAAAAAAAGATGAAGCTTTGCCCAGTTTAGGTCTGCCTCAACCTCTGCCTGCCTCTCTCTGTGTTAACAATGCTAATGACGATACAAAAATAACAAAAGCTACCACTTACTCAGTAAGGTTCATGGTGTGCCAGGGACTGTTCTCAGTATTTTATATGACTTATTTCATTTCACCCTTACAGCATTTGGTAAGATGGACACAATGATTAGTTCCATTTTACAAATGAGGAAACTGAGGCAGAGGGGTAAAAAATACCCAAAGTCACACAGCTAATTGTGGCTGGGCCCAACATTCAGACCCCGGAGGTCTTAACCACAGCATACATGGCTGGCTGAGTTCTTAACCACAGCATACATACAGCTGAGGAAACTGAGGCAGAGGGGTAAGAAATACCCAAAGTCACATGGCTAATTATGGTTTGATCCAGCATTCAGACCCCGGAGTTCTTAACCACAGCATACATGGAGGTGGGGGTGATTTCGGCCTCCCCTGCCTTTCAGGGGGCTACGCCAAGGCCAGCTTGGCCCTCTGGCTTTTCTGCCTCTTGGCAGTCTGCGCCTGCCGCACCCCTCCCCGACTGCCTCCCTGCCCCTCTCCCAGGACCTGACATGGGCTCCCCCTTCCCATGACTTCAGGGCGGGGGCTCATTTGAGCGCATCCAAGATCCATGTTGTACACGAGAAGGTGAAAATGTAAAGCTGGCTAAAGAGCATAATAGAATTTATGGAAATCGCTGGCTCGCACCGCAGCCCGAGCAATGATGGAGGTGATTATTAATTAATCATGGTCTTGGGGGAACAGTATCAGTGCAAGGAGTAATTAAAATGAAGCATTGTACAGTTGTACCGAATGATGATTTATGAGCCTGAAGAATTGCCGCTCTGCCCTCTCCCCTCCGCAGGCTCAATGGGAAGGATTAACTGGACGAATTGTTTTCAACAAAACTAGCGGCTTGCGGACGGATTTTGATCTGGACATCATCAGCCTGAAAGAGGATGGGCTGGAGAAGGTGCGTGGGCTCAGGAGAGGGAGGGCAGGCGGAGGAGCAGGGCCTGTTAAGTCTCCTAGGGCAGACCCCAGGCAGAGGCCCAGAGGCAAGGGGCAACACACAGTCCAGCGGCCCCTCAGGGACTGACTCAGTGCCATGTAGCCTGTGCCTCCTGGGGGCCCGTCAGAGAACAGGAAGGCCTGGACTGGAGGTCACATGGCTCCAGAAGCCAGTGGCCTGGCTGTGGCAGACACCCACACTGTCACTCTGTGAGTAAGGGCCGTCGGGGATGCCTAACCTGGAAGCATAACAAAAGGCCGATGGGGTGGTTGGACTGTCTCTGAGTCCCTGCAGGGCTGCCACGGAGCAGAAGGACAGATGTGTCCTAGGGTAAAAATTTAAGAAAAAAAAACACCTTTCTAACCAGCAGGGAGTGTCTCCCCTGGTAGTGAGCTCACCATCACTGGGGACATTTAAGCAAAGATAGAGCAGTTGCTTGTCTGGGAGACTGAAGATGATTCTTACCCTTGGAATGAGGTTGAAGCACATGGATTCTGAGCTCCTTCGCTCTGGGCTTCTAAGGCCTCTGCAATTCCAGAGAGTTTGGAGCAGGAAAGCAGGCCTGCCTGGGCCTGGGGCCTCCCATCTGGCTAACACAGAAATGTTTTAATGAGGCCAATTCCAGTCCCTGGGAGCCTTCAGCATATTCTATCAATGTCAGGCTTCTGGGCCAGGAGGGAGATTTAACACGAGCCCTCAATTCACAGCATCCCCTGGGACCTGGATTTTGGGGGGCTCAACCACACTCTGTCCCCAGCACATTGGTCCCTGGGAGCCAAAAGGACACCTCCCCAACACTGCAAGTTGCTGTGGATGAAATGTAGGGAGCAGAAGCCAGCCGAGTGGGGGGGCCACTTCAGATGCCTCTACACCTCAGGACTCTGATTTCTGTCCTCTCCGCCCCTCACTGTCCCGATTCAAGCCTTTCAGGTGGATTATTTTAACACGCTGCCCTGGTTCTTGAGCTCTCCAGCCATTCAGTGTGCATACAGATGAGGCTTCCCCAAGCGCAGCTCTGCCCTGCTCTGAAACTGCCCATGGCTCCCGAATGCCAAGTCGTTAAACATCAGCCCCTCACCTGGGCCTGCAAGGATCTTCACATAATACACCAGCTGGCCTCTCTGGGCCTCGTTTCCACATCTCCCGGAAACATACCCCATGGTCTCATCACGCTCCCTCCCTCCTGGACCTCCAGGCCAATGCCCACACAAGGGGGCTGGATGTAACCTCTGTCCGTCAGGCAAGGGCCTGGCTCTGCCTAGTTCAATGCTGTCCTCCTTGTGCCTGTGACCACAGTTACTCCAGTCAGTCCCGACTTTCCCACCAACTCATGGGAGCCACCATGCAGGGGAGGAAGTGGCTGGGGAAGCCTCCCTATTACTCTGTAATTATTTCATGCCACATACAGCATCAGTCCTTAATGGCAGGCGCTGTGGCCTCCCCTCCTAAGATCATCGGTGTCCGTTTGCTCAACCCTATGCAAACTATATGAGTTCTCATCAAACGATCTTCCAGCTTCTATTTAAGCTCCTGCAGTGGTGGAGAGCACACTTCCTCCTCTGGCAGGGCTCTAGTGAATACACTGTTCACTCAAGTGGCTGTCCCATGTTTGCTCCCTGAGCTACCCACCTCCAGGGATAGCCGAAAATTCTAGGGAGAACCATTAGGTGGCACATATGCCAACACTTCCCGCTCCATGCCATAAAAGGCATCAATAATCCATCATTCGAGTACTCTTTCCATCTGAGCCCACCTGCAACCTCCTTCGCCAAACAGCCCTCCAGGCAGCTGGTACAAATTGGCCAAAGCTAATACTCCAGAAAAACTCTATTATCCCTGGACAGAGGTCAGCCTGCCAAAGGCACTCACCACAGACCCCGGGTCATAGCCACCTGGATTATGAGCACAGAGCCTCTGCAGGCTGGGTCCTCCTCAGTCCTCACTGGTCTCACATCCCCATAGCACCTGGTATCTGACAGGGCTTGCAGTCAGAGCTTGGGAGCTGGTTTGTGCTGTTCATGCGGCCTCTGAGCAGATGTTTGCCGAGCACCTTCTGCACCCAGGTGCTCTGCTAGGCACGCTCAGGCTGAGCTTGGCTCTGAGCTCAGTCTACTTAAGAGAAGAGCCTCTTTGATGCCGTCTGCCTGTCTCCTCTCCTCGTGGCCCTGGGTGGTCTACACAGGCAGGGATCCTGCCCTGAGAGGATGCTGAGCTCCCAAACACAGCCAGTCTGCCTCTCGTATTATCGCTTCTGTTTGCTAAGCCGGGTCATAGCTGATCCAGCCAGCTCCTGCCGGTGGCTTTGGGAGGATTAAGGCAGAATTACCCAAGCATAATTACATGTCTCTCTGCTATCTGCTCTGCACAGCTCTCTTAATGGGATGTTTGCATTCAGCCTCTCTGTTTAATTGATTAAGTGTCCTGAGTACCCCCCGACTGGGCCAAGGACAGAGTGGGCATGCAGAAGGCTTCCTTGAGTGAGAGGAGCTGAGAGCAGGCAGAGCTGGCCAGAGCCGGGTCAGAAAGGATCTTCAGGAAGCCCAGGACTTTAGCATGATTTCTAAGCTTGACCTCTCCTTCTCTACTTCTAGCCTCAGGCCCCATATCCACAAGGAAGCTGTAGGGAGAATTATGCCGCCTTGGTCAGGGTGTCTGCCAGTTTTAAATGTTAAACCACAAAACAAACAACTGCCTTCAAACCCAGCAGCATCTCCCCCTGAGGTCCATGCCCTCCTTGTGCCGCCACCCCAAAGCAGCCACAAAGACTGGCCGCCTGTTCCAGACTGCCCTCCCGCACGTGGCACATCCATTATCCTTTACTAGGTCCACAGATGTTTAGTGAACATCTCACTTGTTCCAGCACCTATCCTAGGCTTTAGGAGGAGTCTACACCCAGGAGCTGGCACTGGGGCTGAGACCCAATACATGAGCAACTGGGTGCCCTGGGTCTCCCAAGGAGCTGTCCCAGGGTAAGGCCTGGCACTGACCATGGACCCCTGATTCCCTCCAGCCCCTGCTTGGCATCTGCTCAGCCCTGAGACGCCTAGGGCTGCCTTCACATTTGCTGTCTTTCTCCACATTTTCCCCTTCAGCTGTGATGGGCTTGCCAGCAAGGGAGGTGGCAGAATTCAGGGATTCAGCAATTTGGGATCCTCTTCAGGAGAGGAGGGAGAGCAGCAGGGATGCTGTCAGAACGGTGACCTGGAAACGCAATGGCAGTGGTGATGATAACGATGATTGTGACAATGAGGCTGATGGTGAATGGGAATGAGATGAAGGTCTTGTCGATATGGAGGAAGGATGGGTAGACCAAGGACTCAGCACCTTGTTTGCTGTCTGTCTGTCCTTCCAGGTTGGGGTGTGGAGTCCTGCAGATGGGCTCAACATCACAGAGGTTGCCAAAGGCCGAGGCCCTAATGTCACCGACTCTCTGACAAACAGGTCACTAATCGTCACCACAGTGCTGGTAAGAGCCTGCAGCCCCCGCAGGAAGGACTGTCCAACCTGGGGGTGGGTGGCCGTTTGGGCTGGAGAGTCCCCTCTATAGGTCATCCTATACCTGGCCCTTTCCACGGTGCTCAGATGGGGCTTGTTCTCACCCATGCGCCCCCAGAGGCAGCTGAACCAGGCCCTGCTGGGTGGCCTCAGGTCCTCCACCCAGAACCTGGAGGCTGCAGGTAGGTGGAGACATTTAGGGTCAGTAGGAAACTCTTAGAGAGGAATTGGAGCGCAGCTGCACTGCTCACTGCCACGGGCGGAAGCCGCTGCATTTTTGCCTGTCACTCCCACCCACTCCCTAAATCCTTGATGTCTGAGTAGGAGCCACGCTGGAGGTGGAATTAAGGGGGTTTGACTGCCCATTGCAGCCTGAGTAAGGATCTGCCTCTCCTAGCCCAGTTCCCAGGCAAAAGCCTTTCCCACAAGTGCCGCCAGCTGTGGGGGGTGCTGTGGCCACACCACGAGAGCCTAGCGGGTGCTGGGAGCCTGTACACACGCCGCATTCTACAGCGCCCTTTCCAAGAGCCGTCAGCACCGCCACACCCCCACCTGGAATCACACCCCATCTTCTCTCCATTCCCCAGCTGAATGGTTTTGCCTTCTCCTGACCCATTTCAAACCAAGAAGTGACTCTGGGAGCCTCCCATGTGCTCTCTGCACCTTTGAGCTCACACGTGGGCAGAACAGACCCAGGCCACTGGCCTCCTTGTGCTGCCCGTGCTGCACCCACTCCACGCGCACCTGTCCCTCCTGGAAGGCCTTGGGTGTCCAGAGACTCAGGACAGATCCTCTGAGGGACACAGCTCTGCTTTTGGGGGCCCAAGCCGGGCCATCTTGGGGAGAGGCAGCCCAATCACAGCCTGGTGAATGCTGACGGAAGACCCTTTGAGGACAGTGTTGGCTCTAGTCAGCTGCTACTTACAATAAAGCAAATATGTTTATAAGGACCACGTTCTGGGGTCAGTCCTCTACACAAAAGGGAGCTCAGACTGTTTTGGATATAGTGAGGTTGCCTCGGAGCAGAACCCGGAACAGGCTTCTCACCCTATACCTGGCCCTTTCCACGGTGCTCAGACAGGGCTTGTTCTCACCTACATGCCCCCAGAGGCAGCTGAACCAGGCCCTGCTCTGTGGTCTCAGGTCCTCCTCCCTGGGATGATTCACCGCATATGTGCTTGGTGGCTGGGCAGCAGATGTCATGGAACAGGAAGGGAAGTCATGGGGAAAAAGCCATTCTTCCGGGAAGCCCAGTGAATGGCAGATACCAGGCGTCCCGTCAGCATCCAGAGAGAAATGTTAGCCTGTGAGTCTCACTATCGGCCCTCGGGGTTAGGATGATTGAGAGGATCTGAGCTCAAGATGGTGGAGATCTCACAGCGGCTCCCGACAAGCTGCCGACAGAGCCTAAAGAGGTGGTCTTGGGGTACACCTGTCCCCTCTTTGGGGCAAGACCCCTACTCGTATCTTCCCTAAAACCACATATCCTGCTGGTCTTTATTGATCAAATTTTTGATAGCTAAACAAATATAAAAATCAGTCTGCTAAAACCAATAAGCAAAAATATGTCAAGAAGAACGGGGTTTGTAATGTAAAAATGAAAATAAAAAACAAGAGCAAAGGGATTAGGGGGCAGACTAATGTGCAATTAATGGGATATTGATGTGGATAAAAATAGAAAAGATAAAGGAGAGTTAAAAAGAGAACAAAATAAAAAGGTTACAGGGGAAATAATAAAGAGAAAATGAAGATAAGGAATGAGATAAAAAGGAAAGATGGCAAGAAAGATGAAAAATTAAATAATTTATAGCTCTGACTAGACAAGGTAAAAAATGTAACACCCAAATGTCAGAAAGCGAAAGGATAAAAGTGCGACAAAGCTAAAATATAAAAGGGTAAAAATAAAATAATAAAAAGGTGGTAAAAGATTAAAAGCAGACCTGCATAAAATGTGAGATCTAAATAAAACACTTTTCACAAGGCAAGATTAGAAAAAGGTAAAACTAGGATGATTTAAGAGATTAAGAAGAGAGATGATTAAATGAGCTAAGGTGATTCAGTCACAAAACAATACTCTGAACAGCAAGCTAAAGATTATATACCAAAGGATACAAAATATAAGCACCTTGAAAGACCGTGGGGTTAAATTTTATTAAAACAGAAGCAGCCTGATTTCAAGGGCATAAAACCCTTCTGCAGAGGCACAGGGGATTTTTGCTACATAAACAGAGGCAGAATCCAGGAGACACCCCATGCCTTTGACCTGTGAGTACTCACAGCTTCTGTCAGTACTTGCAGCTTCTTGGAAGGTCCCCTGCCTTCTGTGCTCACTGATTCCCCGGAAGTTGCATTCCCAGCAACCTGCTGGTTCCTAGACACTCCAGGGATAGGAAGGGAGAAAACCCCTCTTGGCCCATATCCTGGTCACAGCTCCATCTGTCCCACAGCGTCTCAGCCACAAGGCATCTGGGCAGACGCAAGCCCAGCAGCTCTTTGGGACATGCAGTGCGAGCAGGACCTGGTGAAAGAACAGTTTGATGATCAAGAACACAGACCTTTGGGATGGAGTCCTGGCTTTGCTGTTGATTTGCCATTTGAGCCTGAGAAATTGCTTACCCGCCCGGTGCCTCAGTTTCTCCCTCTGAAAAAGGAAGGTGATGATAACCGTACCTACTTCATAGAGTTCAGAGAATGAATGATTAATTAAGTGGCACAGAGTGCTGTCTAAGTGACAGCTGCTTTTGTTATTCATTATTATTGATTACAAATCGAGTCCCCAGTGAGCTCAGCTTTAATACAGCTGGCAGAGTGAGAGATCTGGAGAAAAACTCCACTTCTGTCCACAGGCAGAGCCCTGAACTTCACCAAAGACTGACCCCTGCCCAGGGCCACAAAGGTGGTCTCTAGCACAAGGTGTTATGTTACAAACTTAATTTGCATTTGAATGCCTTTCCGTTCGTGGCCATTCCCTGGCTCACCATAGTCCAGCACTCTGCCCCCCAGCCCTCCCCATTTGTTTACACAAAACTTCTTACAGTTTTGTTTCCCAGCTGGTCCTTGAAGGCATTAGGGTTTGCAGCCTTATGGGTCCCTCACAGCTCTAGTCTCCTACTGAGATACAGAACTCCAGATCAACCACCACCTCATTCCCTCCCTTTCCATGGTCTCAGCTCCTGAAGCAGATATCCCATCACCCATGGGCCACTGACCATCTTAACCCCATCATGTAATATCAAATACCCACATGGCCTGGGAGTTCCTGATGATTCAGCTCTTTCCATCCCCACTGCCCAGAGATCACTGGAAGGTGAGCTGTACTTCCCCCTGTGGGGCAGTGAGAGAAGCCTACTCTTTTCTGGAGGCTGGAGAGTGGAGGGAATGACCTCTGGAGCATCCCTAATGGGGACGGAGGATGTGACACAGTCTTTACATGGGCCTCCAAAAAAGTCTGCCTAGCCAAAAGTGTCCTCAGAGTCTCCTGGGAGAGAGATGCTCTCTCCCGTGCAAGGACTGGCCTAGGGCCCCCTGAAACTAGAGCTGTTCCAGATGCTCCAGAGAATGTTCCCAAAAGGCTCAGCATGGTCTGCACGTCTTGGAGCCCTAGGGGATGCCCTCAGGCTTGGGCTCTTTGGGACAGCTACAAGGCGACAAGGAATGGCCCAGCCTGGCCCAGCCTCAGCCTCTGAAAATACAGCCCCATACTTGGCAGCCTGAATGCAGGGCCAGCTCCTCCTGCTGAGAGCATAGCCCAGGCCTGTCTGGGAGGATGTTGTCAGGGCAACAGCACTTTGAGTGACAGGCAGGTCCCAAGGTACCAGTATACAACATCAAACTGCTCTGCCTCTAGCGAGCAGGGCCTAGATCCAAGACCCCTGATGAAGGGGTTTCTCCTCCCCTTTCTTCCCCAGGAGTCTGGTGTGGCAGAAAGCAGCAGCTCTGTGTGAGCTGCCCCCAAACCTACCTGCTATTCTCCCCTCTCCTGAACCCCCAGGGTTATGTGCTAAAGATGTCTTACCCTGGACAGAAAGATGGACAGGTCCCTGGCACTGCCCTTTCTGGCCCCTTAGAGCCACTGGCAGCCTTCCCGATTCCTGAGATCGAAACAGCAGCGGCAGGGGCCTGGATGCCTGCCCTCCCCCGCCCTTTCCCTGCCCAGCCCCAGCCTCTGTTCTGGTTCTGCTCTTCCATGAGCTCATGAAAAATTCATCTGCCCAAACCTCAGCTCACACACTGAGAAAACACACCCGTCCCACTCCTGGGGGCCCAGCTTTTGAAGGTTCAGGATTCATTTGGCTGCCGATGTGAGCCATGGTGTGGGCACACGTGTGGGTATGTGGGTGGACCAGCTACACACGGGTGTCTAGATACTCACTGAGGGGTGAATCTGTGCCGTGTGCACATCGTGACCCACATAGGCTCAAAGACACTCAGCACCCAGCAGCAGGAGACGGGAAAAAGCTAGGGCTAGAATGTGGGCTGGGAGAACTATCCCAGGCTGGGAGCCATTATAGGCCCCTCCTGCTGGAAGAACAGCCCTCCTGATACTGTGTGCTGCTTCTAACTGGCCAAAGCCAAGGCCTCAGGTCCAGGGTTCTTGGCCTCTGTGTCGGAGAAGGGCTGGGCAGACAGGACATCTGAAAATGTGGCGCATTTGTGCCAAGGACATTGTGTATACTTGTGCGTGCATGTGTGGCTATAGGCTGATATTGCCTAAGTCAGAAGCGAGCTTGAGAATGCAGATATTAGGTAGCTAACCCCTGATCCTTCCTGACTTGGGGATAACCCCCCAAGACTCCCTCTTCCAACTCCATGGGTCGCATTGGGAGAGGATTAGCACTGGACTTGACTTTCACGCTGGGGTAAGTGATCAGAGAGAAACTGGACAAAGAGCCCCGGCAACGGAAAGTCAGAAACGGTTATTTTTCTGGACCCCTGTTTTCTGTGACTTGTTGAAGAGAAATATTACCCCTGTTCCTACGGCTGTTCTCCCAGAGCAATAGGAGAGCGTGAAGTTATGAAATTGAGGGCACCTTCACTGAGCAATCGATTAGCAGCCGAGAGAGCTTGTGAATTGGCTGTCTGGACATTTCCAGTAATAAATTGTGAAATAGTCCATGAATAAGTAGTTGGCGGAGTTCAGAATTACCCCCTAGGAAATGTTGCAGGTCTAGAGACACATTACTAAGGCGAGCCCCATTTTAATGCTCTGGGCTTTGGCTGTTAAATATGTATGCCATCCGCAAAGCACTTCCCGAAATTAATGGCATTTTACAGCTGCTCTGAAGGCAGCATATTTATATGGAGATGTATAGATTCTGGGGCTGTGGTGGCTTCACAAATGAAGTGCTAATTTTAGAGGATCAGGCCAGGGAGGGGTGTGAAGACAGGGTCAGGAAGTAAGCTATCTCAGGACCTTTCCTGAAACGGTTTTCCACTCTCAGTCATGAGTTTTTAACCTTTGATGACATTGGATGTGGCCTCTAGGCTGGAAAGGTCACTGCATTAACCAGCCAAATAGCATCCAGGAAGTAGATAAGGATGATGATTCATAATAATAATAATATTGGCAGCTAACAGTTGCCAGGCACTGTTCTGAGTGCTTTTCATAGACTGACTCATTTTATCCTCACAACAAGCTTATAAAGTAGGTTCTATTATTTTCCCCATTTTATAGCAGGAGGTGAAATTTGCCTAGGATTCTATGTGTGGTTGGTGGGTCCTCTGGGAAAGGTGGCACTGTCTCTCTGATTCTTTCCATCAGCTAAAGTCAGGGCCACCAGGTCCAGTGGTGCAACTTGTTCACTGCATAAGAGCGTCAGCCAAAAGACCCTGCTTGCCAGGCCCCATGCCAGGGTGCGGGGGCATGGCCCAGAGACGAATTTGCACAAAGGCAGTGCGTGGACCAGCCAGTGTCCTCTTTCCTCCTGCCTCAGCACTTTTTCAGGCCCCAAATGGACTCTTCTCCAACCTTGTTGAGCTGCCTACTTGGTTGGAAGGTGAATGAGAGAGGCACTGAGGTTAAGCATGGCGCCTAGCCGAGGGTCCAGCTTCCTACCCAGTTAGCTGAGAAGTGGTTTTCTCAGAATCCCTGGATAGTCAGGAACCCCTAGGGGATTCACAGACTGCCCTGCCCCCACCGGCTCGTTCCTGAAGCACCCCAAAGGACTGGTGGAAAGCTCCAGTGGATCAAGCATGGGGCGGGATGGGATTTAGAGAAATAGCGCTGCTGGGAGGCAGAGACAAGACTCAAGCCTGCCCGCCACAGAGGGAGGCCTGCAGGAGGCTGCTGGTGAGCTTCTGCTCCTGGACCTCCCACAAGGGTCTTCACTGGGCCTTCCAGCGCTCACCCCACCTCAGGGGCTCATGAGGTCAAGGGAATGGCCCCGCCGGTTGAGAGAAGGATGAGGCACCTCTGTAGTCAAGCATGTGCCTTAATGTGGGCATGTGGATGTGAGCTTCCTGGTTCACATGCATTCTGTCAGCTAACCGTGGTCACACATCCACTGAAGGCTTGAGGCATTCCGTCACATGGGGGTGCTGAGGCAGGTCTGGGGATGTTTGACTGACAAGAAGAGGATGAGGAGCTATAGGCAGGAACAGGGTAAGGGGCTAAGGAAGGAAGCCCCACGTGAGTCAGAAGATTAGAGCGGTCCAGAAACAGGTTCTGGAATGGCAGCTCTTTACCTGATTTGGGGATCTGGAAAAGCCAATTCACTTGGAAGGTCTGACCCCAGGGAACAGACAGGAAAGCCAAGCCAGAGAGAGGCGTGAGGCTGACTGGGAAGAGTTGGAACTGGAGCCCATAACTGTAGTTCAGCTCCTGAGTGATTTTGGGCAACTTACTGACCTTCTCTGACCCTGGATTTCCTCATCTATCACATGGGGCAGTGTTACTATCTTGCAAGCTAGTGGGGCTTAAATCAAACAGCCTGTGATAAAGAGTTTAAATCAGTGCCTGGTGCAGAGTAGGAACTCAATTGTGTTGAATTTTCTGGGAGTTCAGCACATCCATCATGGGATTGGGATTGGGCTTTGCGAGTTAAGCCAGGTGGATGGTGCCAGCAGAAATGTGGACTCGCATGCTGACCTGGATTCGGGACCTGGCTGCATCAGAGCCCACGATTCCTCTTGCTGCGGACCTCAGCCTGGATGAAGTGTACCACTTCTCTCCACTGACTCTTCTGCCTCTTCTCCCAGTTACCCTTTGCAGGGTTGCCATGGGTTTGTTTCAAAATGAGAAATCAAAGTCATGCCCTGTTCAAATCCCTTCCCAGGTTCCCCATCACCCAGAGAGGAAGAAGCCTGTGGAGGGCGGGGGTGGGGGGTCTGCCATGGAACAGGCATCTCTGACTCACAAGCACGCTCCTAGGGATCACCTGCCCCCCAGGGAGGGGCACCATGGCCTCAGGACCTCAGGCACAGAACTCACACTCTGGGGTTACACTAACCTGAATTCAGATCTTCTCTCCCTGCCAGCTAGGGGGACTTACACAAGTCATATATCCTCACGAACTTCACTTTCCGCATCTATAAAATGGGAGTATTCATATCCACGCCAGGAGGCTGACATTAAGGCAAAATGAGGTGATGCCAGGACCTATCTACTGAGCTCTGGGGCTCTACTGGCCTCTGTGCCAGGCACCCACAGGCATGAACTCATTTGCTAATTGACCAGTGCCTGGCACAGCCACATACCGATGAGCTGTCCCTCTTACCAGCAATCACTCCCCCGGGACCCTAACACAGGGGACTGAGGAGGTTCTTGGAAAGAGAGAACGGCACCCGGGAGTGTGTAAATCTAATCTTGTAAATCGGAGTTGGGAGAGAAGTTAGAGCAGACGGCTTTCTGAAGGGCTTTCTGCAGCAGCATCCTCAGATGTGAGCGTACATCAGAACTCCCTAGAGGGCTCCTGAAAACACAGATTGCTGGGCTCTCCCCAGAGTTTCCGGTTCAGTTAGGTCTGGGGGTGGGGCCTGAGAATGTGCATTTCTAACAAGTTCCCAGGTGACTCAGATGCTGCCCATGCAGGGGCCACACGCTGAGAACCCTGGCCTCTGTTACTGGTGCCGCAGAGAGATCGTGGGTTTGGGATCAGTTTCCACCTCAAAGCCCTGCTCCAGCGCTCACTAGCCCTGTAACCACTGGGCAGTTAAATGAGTAAGTGCCTACTGAGCTCCTGCCTAGAGCCAGGCAGCCGTTCGTGAGGCCCCAGCTGGCCCTCAGGACATACGCTTTCCTTCTCCTGACTTCAAGGGACCCGTTGTCTAAGCCACGCCAAACGGTATATAAAAACCTGAGCAGAGGTCATGGTCCCGACTCTCCATCGCAAGCCTGCCTCTGCCCTACCCGCTCAGTCTAGGTCACCCGCCGCCCATCTGTCTCTGCAGGAGGAGCCGTTTGTCATGTTTCGGAAGTCCGACAGGACCCTGTACGGGAATGACCGGTTCGAGGGCTACTGCATCGACCTGCTTAAAGAGCTGGCCCACATCCTCGGTTTCTCCTACGAGATCCGGCTGGTGGAGGACGGCAAGTACGGGGCGCAGGACGACAAGGGCCAGTGGAACGGCATGGTCAAGGAGCTCATCGACCACGTAAGCCTGGATGGGAGCATAGGAGGGCTCAGGACCCCGGGGAGGCGTGGCCAAGCGCTGTCTGCACCACAGGGCTGAGCATCCTGGCAGAGGAGGGCCCTGGGGGCAGGAGCGATGGAGACAAATGCTGTGACGTTGAGGACTGGGGACGGGGGCTTGGCTGAAGAAGTGTACCCAGCTCTCGTGGGCTGCCTCGCTCATCCTCCCAATGCCATTCCTCTCATACAAACACAGATGCACTGACCCCATCTGATTCAGAGCTGGCCCCACTGGCATCTTTGATGAGCTTGCTCTGGAGGAGGCCTGCAGCTTCTTGGTGCCTTCTGCTCCTTTAAAAGCCACCAGAGGTTGCCCCAGCTCTGGGGACAAGGCACCCACATGAGACATTTCACCAGATTCTGGGACACAGAGAGAAAACTGTCACTGCATTGAGTAACGCTGGCTCTAGTGGGAGTCCGGGAAGAAAGGATGAGCAAGCCCCAGCTAGAAGCACTGAGGAGTCAGCCTCTTCCTCTGCCTGGGATCAGGAGAGGACTGAGGGCAGCCGGGAGCCCAAGCAGGCAGCAGGAGGGACCTGGGCTTCTTGGGACATTGGGAGGAAAAGGGAGAAGCCACAGGCTAAGGACGCCACAGAAGGGGAGGAATCAGGATGCCCTGGGCTTGAGTCCCAGTTCTTCCTCATTAGCTTTGTGAACAGGGGCAAGTCACTCGACCTCTCTGAGCAGTTCGCCGTCTGTAAATTGGGCGTGTTAATACTCCCTCCTCATGCGATTGTTGCCATCGTGGCATAAGGCTCGCCCAGAGTAAGTTCAGTAAGAAGCACCCTGGCAAGATGCTGTGAGCAAACACATAGTTCTCAGATGCCCAGCAGGTCTGGGTTCAAGCCTCAGCTTTGCCGCCTAGTAGATGCGTGACCAGGTAAGTTCATCAACCTCACTAAGCCTCAATTTCTTTACTTCTAAAATAGGAGTAATTGTTGTTGTTGTTGTTGTTATGATTATTATTATTAGAAACAGAATCTGTCTCAGTCAGCCAAGCTAGAGTGCAGTGGTGCAGCGCACTGCGGCCTCAAACTCCTGGGCTCAAGTGATCCTCCTGCCTCAGCCTCCTGAACACCTGAGACTACAGGCACAAGCCACACTGCCTCTGACTAATTTTTAAGTATTTTTGTAGACACACTTTGTTGTCCAGGCTGTTCTCAAACTCCTGGCTTCAAGTGATTCTCCTGCCTTGTAGGTTTGCGCCATCATGCCCTGCTAAAATAGGAGTAATTAGCAACCACCATAGCTCCTACGGCTTTTGGGGGAATTAAATAAGGCACCATTTCCACAGGCTTACCTGGCACACAGTAAACATAATCTGCCTTCCAGCTCAGGGCCTTCAACTTGACTGAAGTATTTTCCATCAAGGAGCTGCTGCTGAATTCAAGGACCTGGTCTATACTGGACCCGTTAGATTCCTTCTTTCATTTATCCTTAGAACAGCCCAGTGAAGTAGGTACTGTTATTAACACCCATTTTACAGATGGGGAGACTGAGGCGGAGAAAGATGAAGTGGTGGAGCCAGAATTCAAAGTGGTGGCTTTGAGGGCTCCCTGCCTCAAAGCCCTGTGTTCCAGCTTCTACAAAGAACCAATCTGGCCCCCGGGGCCAGGACAGAGGAAGATTCATGCAGAGATCTTTGCAACAGAGTACCAGCCAAAGGTTTATTATGACTTCGCCCCTCCAGGATGGGAGCAGGCAGCATCGGGGCCTTCGGTTAAGTCCCCTTGCCTCTGTCTGAGGGGAGATGCCCTACAGAGACCTTGAAGGGTGCAAGTGGGGAGGGAGGCTGGAGCTCAAGGCATGAGGGCTGGAGCCTGGCCCAGCGGAGTCATTCCCCAGTCCCCAGCAAACTGGGCTCCTGTGGAAGTCTAATAGGAGACTCAAATGGTAAAGAGTGTGGACCCCAGCCAGGTTTGACTCCCACTCTTTTACTTGCTAGCTGGGCATTTCTGGACAAGTTTCTTAACCTCTCTGTGTCTCAGTTTCTGCATGTGTCAAAGGGAAATGCTATTAATAGCACCTACTTTATAAGGTTGTTATGAGGACTAAGTTAACAGCGTATTACGTAGTCAGCACCATGTCAGTATTTAGTACTATTATTTATATTTTTATCCTTACAACTGTTCCTTGCAGGCTGGGGAGGGGGCTTCAGGAAGTCCCTTTATCTCCCTGAGCTGCACGTTCCTAACCTGACAGTGAGAATAATCATGCCTGCCCCACATTCTTCACAGCTTGTTGTAAGCCTCAAAGGAGACAACTGGTGGGGAAGCAGCTTCTAGATTGTAGAATTCAGTATAAACGGAAGGGCGTGGTGTTGTCACCATTATTAGTAATAACTATAATTATTATGGAAATCAGTCAGCAGGCCCCAGAGGCACCTCCATCTTATCCACTTCCCTGCGTTTATAAGAGGGGCTTGGAGTCTGGGGCTCCGGCTAGGCTCTGAGTCTGTCATTTACAGAGGGAAGCTGGGCTGGGAGGAGGGAGGATCCTGCAGAAGGTGGAGGCCGTGTGTGGAAGTGAGCGGGGCTGGGCCAGCCTCACCACTCACAGTATCTTCAGTGGCCCCAGAGCTTTGAAGAGCTGTTTGAAGAGAATGTGATCAGGGAAGCCCAGCATCAGCCCCGCCTTCCTAAGCTGACCCTCCGCTGGGAAAAGGTGGGAGTGTCATCCACAGCCTCCACGCAGCCAGGCGGTGCTTTGGGTAGCCCAGTATCCATCAGGGTTACATACCTGACGGGACATGCAGGGGACCTTGTTAAGCCCGATTCCCTGCAATTGATGAGCCCATTAATCCTAGCTTGGTGCCATTTTTAATAACATCATAACCATTTATTAGTGTCGTCAGATAATTAGTCTTCTCACTAGCCCATAGAAAGCATGGAAAGGCTTGCCAATATTATTACTTCCTTATTAGGGATCTGAATGTAGGTGTAAAGATGATGAATGCCCACCTTTGTAAGTATCTCCCCGCCGGGGCCCATTTGGAGGCCCTAGGTGAAGCCTCTGACCGGCAGAGCTTAAAAAGCCCTATCTAGTTACTCCTTGCTCACCTCTGTCCCATGCCACATGGTCTTCCAAGGGTTGCAGAGGAAGATGGGGTAACTAGAGGATGCATCGCTTCCTGCTGACACACTCGCCTGCCCAAGTCGCCTTAACGATGGGGCAACGAACACGATTAGACAGAGCAGTGATTATTCCTCCATCCCCCACTCTTCCAAATTTCGCTCTCTCTATGTTTACTGCCTGCTTGTCTGTATCCTCTTTCAAAAATCTTCTACTCACATCCGTGCCTTAAATTATTCCCACGTGTTTTGATGACTCTGGAATCTAACCGAAATGGGTTCAAATTCTAGGTCTAGCATATTTCAGCTGACAGTGGGAGAGTTATTCCTCTTCTCTGGCCTCCATTTCCATATCTACGAAATGGGGATAATAAAAGGGCCTCCTGCCCTTCTCACCATTAAATTGGTGAGAAGATTTAATGAGATACGGCACCAAAATGCTTTGCCGAGTTTCTGGTGCTCAGTAAATGCTCAGTACACAGGAGCTGTCCTGCTCATCACTGTTCCTTCCATGGACAGCCTCCCTGTCTCATGTCTGTCCATGACTGAACCTGATGACAGTGGGAGGGTGGCCCTTCAGTCATGGTCATCCTGCCAGGCCACAGTAGTCCAGGACCTAAACCTTACCCCCACTGGATCCAAATAAGGAGCCTCAAGGAACTGACTCACATTGATCAGACTCCCAGGGAACTGAGGCATCCATCAAGGTGCCACCACTGAACTTTACTTGGGGCATTGGACTTTTATGAGACTGGGAGTTCCCATCTGCCATCCAGAGCTTCTGTGTCCTGGCACCAGGTGCCCAGGAGCCCGCTTGGGGAGTGCGGAGGCAGAATCCCAAGAGTGGAATGCCTGGAGCCAAGAGGAGGACTGCTGCTGGAGAAGGGGGAAGGAGACAGGCCTTGAAGAGTTGCAGGTGTTGAATGGAGGAACTGGACTTGAATCCCGAGGGCTATGAAGAATGTGAACCCACTAAGGTGGAGCCGGGGGTGACATTGACTTGGCATTTGAGGAAGGTCGCTCTGCTGCTGGGCCAAACCTGAGTCAGTATGGAGGCCATCGCTGGGACCCGAGCAGGGAGAGCATGGTGGCCTCACTCCGAGCGCTGCTCTAGGAAAGGAGGGAAGTAGATGCGCAGCCAGCAGACAAGCAGGTGGAACCAATGAGGCTGGGGTTGGGTGGATGGAGGAGGTGGGGAAGGAAGGGGTGAAGAATGGGGCACAGAATTCTATTCTGGGCAATTAGGGAGGTGATCGTGTCCTGCCTAGATCAAAAGCCCCCCTGGAGAAATTGAGGATTTGGGAAACGTAGTGAGATCCATTTGGGATGTGTTGGGATTGGGATCCCTGTAGATGGCTGGCCCTGTGGCTGGGCACTTGGAGGAAGGAGCAGGGCTGGGGGCTGAGCTCTAGGAGTCATCAGCACATCCTGCAGGGAGCCTGGGAGGTGGAGAGAGCTGCTCAGGGAGAGCAGAGATGCGGACGTGGAGTGGCACCCTGAATGGCACAAATGAAAGGGAGGAAGCCACAAAATGCCTGGGCTGGCAAGGAAAAGAAGAGAATCAGAAGGGCATGGGGTGTGGGACACCCAAGGAGAAGAAGATACTAGAAAAGGGAGGAGGGTCACAGGCCACAAGGAGGTGAAGGGAGATGAGGAACGAGCATCCACGAGTTGGTACAAGCATGACCTCCTGGGGGTACTGGGTCAGCCCCAGCAGAGTCCTTGAGTGCTCCTGCTCTCACACTTCACCCTCGGAGACCCAGAATTCTGTCCTGACTGCCTCCCAGGCCCCTGCATCAGAGCAGGAGGGAGGCTAAAGGGGATGCATAAAAACTCTGCAGGCCACGGGAAATTTGTCCTTTTCTCTCTAAGCTGTTACATCTCACTGCAG